CAAGGCTTCCCGTTCTCAAAGCAAAGCATATTGTCGTTGTTTTGAGCCCACGACTTTCTAGAAAGGGATTCGTTCTAGAAAAGGACGTATTAAAGGAAAATAACCCCGACAGTCCAAAATGAGGCTGTATACGGACCCAGGGAACTTTCAAAGTTTGAAATTGTTAATTGCAGCCAAGGTTGCCTCCGTAAAAGTCGAAAAAATAGAGGCGAAGCCTGGAGGTAGGTACCACAGCACAACAGAACACTGAGACTAGATCTGGATATAGATCTAGTGTTGGTGTTCTGTGCACAGCACTATTCTGACTGTTCAGCCAGCACTAGAATCTAGGTTGGATCTAGATTTTCTATATTAGATGGCCACCTCTATTCTCACCCGGAGTGAGAATAGTGCAGGCGAGTCTTGTGGCTATTCTCACCCGGTGCGCGTTCACCAAATTTTGCGTTCACCCTAAACCACATAATTCTACACTGTGATATTAGATTTGAAAGTGGCTATTCTCACCCGCCCGGAAGTTCTCGCAACATCAACTCCTCCCCTCTTCTCTCTCTCTCTGTCTCTTTCTGAAATACTGTCTATCGGTGTGGACGATCAAATTAACCAAAACAAAGTTAAAAAATGATGTTAAAACACAAAAGTAAATTAATTTGGTTGTCTACAAAGATGCTACGGCTATTTAACTTTTCGAATCGAGCCGAACTGCGTGGGTCGCCATTTTGTTTTGCCCGGAAATTCTCGCGCTACTCCTCTCTCTCTTTCTCTCTCTCTCTCCACTGCCCACAGACAAAATTGTACGCTTTTAGTAGGCTACAGTTGTAATGGAACGTTTGTTCACGGCACAGAATTCTACAATTTTTCTGTTATCACAGTGTAGAATTCTGTGGTTTAGGGTGAACGCAAAATTTGGTGAACGCGCACCGGGTGAGAAAAGCCACAAGACTCGCCTGCACTATTCTCACTCCGGGTGAGAATAGAGGTGGCCATTAGATTTAGAGCATGGGATCGACCTGTGATCTGATTTCTTTTTTCTTTTCAATACGTGTCGCTCACAGTGAAATTACATGAAATCTTAAATTGTTCATCATTGATTTTACGGAAAGAAGTGTATACAGACCTGGTAACCAGGAACAAAGTCACGAAGTATACAGACCCGGTAGGGGAACTCTTTTGTGATTTCGGAAAGTTTCAGCGCCCAGACCCGGTAGTGTGTATGTGTGTCAGGGGTGGCTCGTACTCATGGGTCTAAAAAGTGGGCGTGCACAATTAAGCTATCTTAGGGTCTTAGGCTGAAGATAATCAAGGGCAGAGTAAATGGGATGGTGTATAATTTTAGGATCTTTGGGTTGGTGAAAGAAGACCGTGTGTGCTTTTATTTTCATTCTTTTTACTTGTGGCTTTGAATTCTAGATCTAGAATTAAATCTGTTTGTTAGCTAAACACGTCAATTTCATTCACCCTGCATTAGAACTGAACACTCAAGTAATACCTTTCACCACTCCACTACAAAACCGTTCAAAAGCACAACGGTAACTTAAGTATGTCATGTTCACCTCCCTCAGACTCAGGTTCACGGTCACAGAGTCACTTAAAATAGCGACAAGACAATGAACCAATCACAATTCACTTGAGCACTCCGCTAGATTATCATTGCTCCGGGGCCCACATAATTTTGGCATGGAATAGTGCAGTCTATGGCATTTATTTTTAGATTGCCTACTGTTGGCTATGTTTCGGCGCTATTCGGCAGGAGCACTTAAATTTTTAAAAAATTAAATATTAATGTACCGGCAAACTCTCTGCAAGTGTCGTCATTGCTTGGATTATCCCAAAAGCGATTTATAGATCAGGTTTCCACTGTTGACTATCTTGTTATACTAAATTTAGATACAGTGCATGAACTTAGGCATGGCATAGTAGATGTTTTACGACGCTATAGAATAGAAATGACAGTTACGGCGCCAGCGAGGGCCTTGTTTTGATATAATATTTGGCTAGGGATTGTTTCTGGCGTCTTTTATTTTATTATTGTGGGTGCTTTACGTCATAGAACATTAAAAACATTTTGGACGATACTGCACGACCGTGCTCTATGGACGAACCGCGCCTGGTGTGTGTGTGTGTGTGTGTGTGTGTGCGTGTGTGCGTGCGTGCGTGCGTGCGTGCGTGCGTGCGTGCGTGCGTGCGTGTGTGCGTGCGTGCGTGCGTGCGTGTGAGAGAGAGAGAGGGAGGGAGGGAGGGAGGGAGGGGGGGGGGAGGGAGGGAGGGAGGGAGGTTATGACATTGTTCTTTTCTGCAAATTGGGATTCCTCCAACTAGAAAACAGAGGAAAAACCATCGTTCATGGAAAAGACATCTGCAATCTTCATTTAGATCTAGATCTAGGCTAGCCTTGAAACTTGATCAATGATTTATGTCTGTCTGTCTAGATCTAGACCTAGGCCATAGATCTAGAAGAACCTAGGTCTACCCCACAGAATTCTACACTGATTCTGTGGTCTACCCTCCCGAGCCAAGAGGGGGCTGAAACTTTCCGAAATCACTATAAAGAGTTCCTCCACCGGGTCTGTATACTTTGTGATTTTGTTCCCGGTTACCAGGTCTGTAAACACATTCCGTTTACAGAATGACCAGCCCCAACCAACAGTTAGCAGATTAGATTCTAGATCTACTGCTGTTTTAAGGTACACCACGGGGAATATTCAGGGAAAAAAATACGATGTTTGGCAAAAATGATTGATTTTTGGCTTTATATCGGATTGGCTACTTCAACGTATTGGGAATAGATCTGACGTGTTACTTTTACCAAGAACACATTTTTGAAACACGCTGTCAATCATTTTAGTGTACCCCCTCTTTCAAATTACATTCAAATTTCAGAAGTAATGAAAACTTTTGCTTTGTTGATCCCTTACTACCAAAACAATGTGGTAGATCTTCTGCTAACTAGTAATTCAGCGCGGAGGTCAAACTGAACTTTCGTTGAGTCAAGGACACACGCTTCGGTTTATTTATAGCTCCAACGTTTTTCCCATTCACCCAGAAAGCTTTCAATCCCAGGATGCAACGTCTGTGTGTTTTGTCCCCCGCGGACAACACATCTCCGGGTTTTCGTAAGCGAATGTCACTTGAAAAAGAGGAAGAATAACTGAAATTCTTCTGCTTTGACAATGTTTCAACTGATATTCTGAGCAGGTAAGAGTATATTTCATTCACTGGTGTTTTATTTTGAACTTGTATAGACTAATACGATCGTAAGTCGTAATATCAGCTGCTTGCTGACCTTTGCCTAAGTTAGTGCAAGTCTAGTAATGGCCTACAAAAATTAGGATTACGACACACTACTTGGGCTGGCTTGTTTTACGAACATCATTGGCAATATTTAGTAGTTCAATTCATGAGCTGAATGTTGAAATTACTTTAGTTCAGGGAGAACTGATGAAGAGTATGAGCAAGTTTTGGAAGGGAGGTGTGTGCATTTTTGGAGCCTTGTCACAGTGCGAAAGCTGTGAGTTTGTGGACCACTTGCAAAGCAATAATATGAGCTTTGACCTGCTTTGACATTTTATCAATCGACTGACCTAGAAGAACAGACAAGATTTTAACCACATAATGCCACATTCCCTCACTTTTACATTCTTCAGTGGTCGTGGATAATTCTCTTTTCTCTATGACTTGACTATATACTATAATACCATGCTTAGTTTGGGGTGAGATCTAGTAATAGATTCTGGCCTATTTCTATAGCCAGTTTGAAGTTTCCAGTTTTCCTTCAATTGTTTTCGTACCGGTATATTATAGATCTAGAATCTAGCTATCACTGGAGCGGGAAAAAATAAATTTAAAAATAGAAGCTGAAAATCTTCAGTTCCGGACTGTAGACACAAGTAGATAAGATTATGTCTCATTAACTTGTGTGAGGTTTTGAATGTATATCGAATTACAAGTGTGTTAAACTGCTGCTCCTCGCTGGGTTAGATCATGAATATAGATTCTATACTTACTTTACTTTACTTTTACTTTTTCATCCTCTGTTGCCGTTAAGCGTCGAGGGGAGATGTAGTTTTCTATGGTAGGCCAGCTCCGCAGCTCTTTCAGTTGTGATGTTATGTTTTCTTAGGGTTTCCTTGACACCCTCGATCCACCTTTTGCATGGCCTTCCTCTTCCTTTATAGCCTGAGTGCTTGGTGTTGTAGGCTCTCAAGGCTGGCTGGTCAGGTGACATGTGTAACAGGTGGCCAAACCATTTTATCCTCTGTCTTTCTGTGTAACGCAGGCAGGACTCAGTGCCGATAGCTGCTCTTACTTTTTCATTTCTCTGCCTGTCTCGTCTTGTGATGTTGAGGGTTTTGCGGAGACATTTCATTTCGCATGCGGTGATTTTGCTTTCATGGGTTTTGCTTAAGGTCCAGGTCTGGCACTGATAACATAATGTTGGTATGAATATTGAGGTGATAAGCTGCCTCTTTGTGTCCATGGAGATGTTTGAATGAGATAGAAGGGGTGCGAGCTGGTAGGTGACAGCATTGGCTTTTTGAGTTTGCATCTCTATTTCTCTGTCTATGGACCCGTTTTCAGAAAAAGTGCTGCCAAGATATTTAAACTCTTTCACCTGTTTCTGTTGTTCACTATTGACATGGATGTTCAGGGGCTATGGTTGCGGCTCATTTTCAGAACTTCTGTTTTAGATGTGCTTATTTTCATGTTGAATTTCTCTCAGGTGTTGTTGAGTTTGGTAGTGTGATTTTGGAGGCTTTGTTGGTCATGATGAATTAGACATTGGTCGTCTGCGAACAGAAATTCATTTAGGCTTTCTGGGCTTTGGTTTGCTTCTTGCGTTATTGTGTCCATATATATTATAAACAGGAGGGGAGATACAACGCATCCCTGTTGTACTCCAGATCTTACTTTGAACCACTCTGTATTTCCTTCCTTCGTTCTTACTGAGCTTCTGCTGTTGGTATATATAGAGCTCTGACATTATCTAACAATTGTCCTCTGACGCCATACTTTTCGAGTGTCTTCCAGAGTTTTGCATGGTTTACTCTGTCAAAAGCCTTCTCTTGGTCTTTAACGGACGATGTTGGACGATGATTCTATATAGGCCCTACAATTGCAATTTTTAATTGACCGTGCTATAATCTTACAGTAGTTCAATGGTAACATTCGGCATTTATTTGTAATGTGGTCTTATGTTGAACTATATTTTGGTATACTCCTTTACACCACAATTCATGGCGATCGCACCGAATTCCTTCTTATTCTTATTCTGTTTTGTGTTTTTTTCAGGGAGTTGAGGGGGGGGGGGGGGGGGGCATTCAAATTAATAGAAAAACGATGTTCAAGAAATTTGTAGGTATACCGAATTAATATTTTGTAATGAGTTCTCTCAGTATTCTTTAGGTACTCCAGCATTGGTGCCATTAGGATACATTACGTAGTAGTGATTTGTTGCCAAATTCTTTTCTCTATAGCTGTTATTTTTGTTTTGTTTTACCAACAGATTGGTAATTCACTAATCAGCTTGTGTATTTTCCCAGCTTTGCTAATCTGTGAAGGCCCAGCTGACAACTGATAAGTTTGACTCATGACTGTAAATCCACAAGACTGAATGTCAGGTCAACTACAGTGGCCCGTCTAGGTAAAGAAAGCAAAGGTGTCCTAATATGGGGTTGCTCACTCTAGTACAAGATGAGGAACACCTCACTCATTGGTGATGGAGATTCAAAATCATTCCCACTTTATTGGCCCTCAAGCCCTATGATTCCATACTCATAAAGGAGGTGGCGTGTGTCAACCAATGTGGCAAAACAGTAAGTCGAAATTGATTTTGATTCTTACGTGTCATGAGAAATCAGAGTGATTTTTTTTACATATACCCGATATCTCTCTCAGAAAAACGCCTCACTTATACTTAGGCTATACTTATAGAGTGATTAGTTCATTGAAAACAATGTTTTATTCAATTTAAGTGAAGAGAAGTAAAAAGCAAACAATAACTGCTCTTTTATTGATACTAATTTGATTCAAATTACATTCAGATCACAGATTAGCCTAGTATTAGTGTGAGAGATAATACCCCCTTCACCTTATGCTCATCAACCGTGCTTCAATTCTTTTGTCAGCAGTTGACACAGGTAAAAGTACCGTTATTGAAAATGTAATAAAATAGTTTGATGATAGAAAATTGCATGTTTAGCTTTGTTTTCATTACTGTTGAACTTTGTAAGCCTGTCACTGGTGATTTTGTTGGCTTGAAAAAAATACTTCCAAGAATGACAAAATGGTTCTATAAATGAAACCAGTTTTGCATATCATATCATTTCAGTCTCAGCTCTGTACTTTGCGAAATCTGGGAGCCATCGAGGAAAAGAGAGGTGTAACGCTTGGAGAGAAAGCCTTTGGCGCACTGACTCAGGTACCGTATTTGAGGATAACAAATTTCACTTGACTATCCCCTAATTTTCAAAGTCCCATTAATCAAAAATTATTGTTCCATACCCCACAAGCGAAACTTAGCTCATTTGTGACCTATATGATGGATGGAGTTTTTTTAAAATGGAGAAGGAAGCAAGTTCTCCTGAGACCTACGGTGCTTGTCATGCTTTGTGAAGCTCGAGGGCCATGATGATGAACGCCGTTCATCATATTTTGCATTTGGCTTACTGCTTCATTACATGTATTTCATAAAACTAATAGCAGATTCTCATTCATCCACATTTTTTAGAATATTTTCAGAAATCTTTTCCTTTTAGAGATAGTAGAATTTATAAACTGGGTCTAATCATACATGCAACCAACCACTAATCTTAGCACTGCTCTTTCTTTGTCCCTGGTGATCAAAATCAACAACTGTCTGGTGAAGCACAAACTGACCCTGTGTAATGAAGGGGTTAATGCCTATCGTCTTGTAGGCTCGTGCTTTATGCATACACTCACTCTCAGACTCACTACTCAGAGAAGTGTGTCAGTGGAGAAAGGGAGATCGTCACTAGGCCCTAGGCTAGGCGTACATAGTTGCTGAGTCGCTGGTGTGTAGTGTGCACTGTATAGACTGTATACGCGGCACCTCTGGTGGCCAAGAGTGAAGGGGTTGTGGGGAAAATTAACATTAGTAGGCTTCATTTCAGGTTGGGGGCAAATAGTAGCCAATGTTTATAAAGGCGTTCCTTTTCGTGCTTTGGCAAAACCTGGTGGAAAGCTGGACTAGTAAAACAGGGTGGCAGTTTTGCAGGGTTTGAGTGTATAAATAACTCCCTGCTGCTTAGAGTGTGAAATGTTTTTTTGTTGTCTGCAATTACAATTTTGCCATTGAATCGGATACTAACTTTTGTTTGCAGAGGATAATAACAACACCTAAATCATTATTCTTATGGGTTTTTTCCAGATTTTTTTTCTCTTCTATTCTTTTCAACCAGGAGAAGATTGGATGTCTCCAGTCCTATTACACAAAACCTCTGGGGTCGTTCACTGCTAATGTAAGAAGCAGTTGTGGCCACGTTGCTGCACAACACCAGCATAGGTGGAGACCCACATCATGACAGATGCCCACTTACTGGTGACAACAACTGGTGCTTTTACATTATAACACAGACAGGTCAAACACAGAAGACTCAAAATCACGCATCAGTAGAACTGTGCCTGCGGTCCCATTTTTATTTTTCCTTCTTTATCTTTAAAAAATATCCTTTGAACTACAGATCCCTCGAACTACGGATGCCTCGAACTACTGAGGCCAGTTCCAACAAATTCGAGCTATCTGTGTTATACTGTACTTTTACAAAAGGCATTACAGCCAAGGAAGCACAGCACCATCACACAAGGGAAGGCTTTCTACCCACCTCAAACCCCTTCACTTATGAAGCCTGTGCACCACAGATGAGCTAATGGAGATCAAGTATGTGCCTGGCGTGACACAAAAACAGAATGGGAGTTTCCATATGTTCACCCCTGGTTGAAGCAGTGAGTGCCCTAAGACGGTCTTTGTGACCAAACCAAGAGTAAAAGCTGCTTTTGCTATCATTACTGCAGACCGGAAGTTGGGGGCCCTTGGCACCCAGACCTTTATGCCGTTTCTGAAGTTACAGATCTCAGCCCAAACCATGGGGGCATCAGAAGGGACTGTCCGCAAATATAGAGGGCAAAGACTGGAATTGAGGGTGTGGCTTAGAAAAACAGGAAAGGAACCATCTTTTAGAGGAGGAAAATTGGACTGGCAGACGTCTCTACTGCCCAGGAAGAGGGACTGATTAGGAATAAAGAAGTCCTTCTGCAATTTATGGCTCTGTTTTCCTCTTTTGGCAGCTTGGAGTTGCATGTTTTCGACAAATTTCCCTTAATTTCTTCTTTTCAGTTAATACTACTGCTAAATTGACCCCTCTGTTGCATCACTACCAACTGTATTTTGGGGGGACTTTTTTCTTAAAATTAGATATAAAAGAATTGGGTACATTGACAAATGATTAATTGTTTTTATACAATTCAATTAACGCTCCTCTCCAGGCCGAGGCCAACATACCACCACTCTCACTCAGACGCACACAACTCTCACTACAATACGCAGTTAAACAGAGCTCAACACCGGAAAATCCAGCGCACAACAGCATTTTTCAAACAAATCCAGAAACCATAAACAGATTCCAAAACAACGAAAAACTCATCAAACCTTTCGGCCTCAGAATCCTTGAGGACCTCAAAAACTTACACTTTTCCAAACAAGACATCCAACAAATTCTTTTCCCCGACCTCCCTCCGTGGCACCTCACCAAGGCAAAAGTAGATTTACAGCTGACCACACACAACAAAGAAAGCACAAACACCAAAACATTTCAAGCAGAATACAAAAAACTAATAGATAAATACCCCGGTGCGGAGCTCATCTTCACGGATGGCTCCAAAAAAGACAATGAAGTGGGCGCCGCAGCCCTATCTCCCAACAATACACACCAGAGGAGACTCCATCCTGAAGCCTCCATTTTCACTGCGGAGGCCACTGCCATTGACATGGCACTGGACTCTGTAGAAAATTCTCCTAACAAATCTTTCCTTATCCTTTCTGACTCTCTGTCTTGCATCACCTCACTCACAAACTACACACTCTTACACCCAAAAATAGTTAGGCTACAACAGAAAATCCATACACTATCCGAAACAGGAAAAAACATCATGTTCGCATGGATCCCAAGCCATGTGGGCATCCGGGGAAACGAGCAGGTAGACGACCTGGCGAAGAAAGCCTCATCCCTTCTGCTGGGATCAACGACAAACACTCTCCCACAGACTGACTTTAGAAATAAAGTCAAAAAGTACACCTCCAGTCTGTGGGAGAGCCACTGGGAAAACCAGAAAAATAATAAATTATATGAAATTAAACCCAGACTAGAACAGCGAAATCCTTCGGATCTCTCCAGAAGAGACGAAGTCATTTTTACTCGATTGCGCATCGGACACACGGCCCTGACTCACAAATACCTCCTACAGGGAGAAGAGAAGCCGTTCTGTGTCGGATGCGACACAGATTTTACCATTAGACACATTTTAACAGAATGTCTAGACTTTGGAGAGATCCGAAGGAAATATTATAAATGCAAGAAATTGCAGGATATTTTCTCCGTCGTTGTTCCCAGCAGAATTTTAAATTTTATAAAGGCCATTGGCCTTTATGGCGAGTTGTAAAGTGAATCTGATATTATTAAAAATTTTTATTGTTACTTAAAAGTTGTTTTAGATCACAAATGTATTTACACCGAATTTGAATATTTTAACTTTTTAGCATTTTAAAGTAAATTGGTTACCAGTCGTGAAGTGAACTTTCGCAGAGGTGAACAACTTGTGTTTCGCGCGCTCATATGACCTTAGCAGTTGCGAGCGCCGTAAAACCTTATACTACTACTACTACTCGGTTAGAAAGTTATGACAAAATCAGTGCGTTTTTTCGTTTTCTCAAAACGACAAAAATTAAGGGGTATGGGTTGCGGCCCGGACTCTCAAGGGAAGGATTTCTTTTATATTTGGCCTGACTATGTGAAAATGAATTTTCTGTGATCCTGGTTGGGCTTTTTTTATACCTCTCACCGATTTCGAAAAATGCAGTTTCAAGTGCGAAAATGCAAAAATTAATAGAGTCAAGCAATAGCTATGACGTTATCCTCAATATCTCTTTAGACGTTTCAAGTATAAAAAAAAGCCCATCCAGGATCACAGATTTTATTGTTAGTGTGCTTATGTGAGAATATAAGTACTTTAGTCAATAAACTGATTGAGCAAGAGTGCGGGCCGGATTGAGTCAAAATTGCTTCTGTACCCCCAAAGCATGAAATATTTTCAAATTCCTTATGGAAAGAATAAATTTTGCTATTTGATATTCAGTTTGAACTCCTAAAGTGTTTTATAATCAGTCTGAATGGTGCGGGGATGTGTTAATAACAAAGTTAGAAACATTAACTGCCACCTACCCTTAAGTGTTAGTGTTAGCGGATAGGATAGAGGGATATAATCTATAGTATAGGGTCTAGGCCATTAATGTTATACAAATTTGGGAGGCCACAACAGATGAACAGAAGTAGATCTAGGCTAGATAGATCTAGCCTAACATGCGACTAAACGTAGAACGATGCAAACTATTTTAAGATAAGGCGGCCATATTGTGTGACGTCAGACCAGGTTACCCCTTCGATCATGTGACTACATCTTAACATAGCCAACCGCATGGCACCAAAGATTCTTTACTAGGCTACATGATCTTTAATGGCACGACACTTTGGTTCAATGTTTTTCCAGGAGTACTGGTAATGTGATTTGATGCGGTGCTCCGATGTTTATCTCTTCTGAGCATCGTTTATCGGGTCCGGGGGGGGGTAATCTTCCGGCGTCTTTACTGCAATTTTCATGCGCTATTGTCTTTGTGGTTGCGTTTATCGTGTTTCAATTTCAAGCATCAGTGTTCTTACTGTTTTTAGCATCAACAATCTAAATGATCATCCATCATCAGAGCATGGCTGACAGGCTGCAGTTAGCCGCAAGTGTGAAATTTTAACGTGTGAAACATATCGATACTGATAATAGGTCAAGCCACTGACCCAAGATGTCGTTCCATGCAGTATCTCCAAAAATCGTGTACTAGGTAGTAGAGAATCTTTGGTATCTCTACGGCCTTAAAATAGTCTGTGGGTATCCCAGGGTGTGATGACATCGCATTATTAAAATTAGCAGCCAATCAGGCAGGTGTGTCGTTCTACGTTTAGCCGCATGTAGTAGCCTACAGAAGACTTGAAAAGAGTGTTACGAAAAATTCCTGAATAGATCTAGATCTAGCCTATTTATTATTTTATGAGTTCAGCTTGTGCGTGTGTATGAATTCAAACTTCCAAATGACTGTAGGCTTCTATCTATTTTATTTTATTCATTTCTAATGCATCTTCTGTCCATATTAGAACCTAAAATATAATTAAAATAATGTGATTTCTAACTTGTCTGCCCAAAGTCAGTCATTTCAAATCTTGATCATAATTCATTTATAATCATAATTTCTAGCTAATTCTATATTCATGGCTTCTTTTATTTCAGATTCTGTTGTTCCATATTTGAGCAAGCAGAAGCTACCAGTTTTAGAAATTGAAGATGGAAAATTCATATTTTCTTCAAATTCAGCAGCTAAGTATGTTATTATGCATTCCCGTCAGTTTTAGTTAATCAGTTAGATCATGTTTTTTTTTACTGCTATTCATTTATTGATTATATGAGACAAAACATGATATAATATACATACAGTTGAACCTGCGTTAACGGAAACCTGTGTAGAACAGAAACTTGTCTTAATCGAATTTCCCCGCTCGCCCCTTGATATAATATTCCTCTTTAATTACCTGTAAAAAACGGAAACTTGTCCAACGCGGAAACGGAAAGAAAAATCCGCCCCCTTCTGAGGGTTTTACCTGTGACCTGTCTAAGACAGAAAATGCTTTACCCGCTCAGCCTTGATTTGAAACAAAACTCGCATGTTTGGTTCTGCCGGCTCTTAACCTAACGCCATGCTGCCGGGTGAGGAAGGGGAGTAGGGGTGCAATTTGGAGGTAGATGGTATAGTAACAGTTACCCCGTCTATGTGAGGCTTGAGCGATGCAGATGGTCAAAATAGTGTGGATATGAAATCTCACGAGTGCCAGTGAAAGTGCTCGAGCAGCAAGCCACTACGGAAACTTTCCTGGGTAGCCAGAAGCCAGAGGTGTGAAATTAGTTTGACCAATGCCTGCCGCCCTGATCGTACTGCCAGCCGAGTAAAAGAGTTCTTCGAATCGTTGTTACATGGTAGTGAGGGGTGGCATTAGTTGACTGAGCTTGTTACACTGATGGGTGGGGCTAAAGGTGGAAGCGAAGGAGATGTTCAAACATTTCTGTTTAAATCTAAGGTAAAACAGTGGTCCTATGAAATACAAGCACTGGTGGTAATGGATTATAAGTAAGACTAACCCATGTCATTTTCAGAGAGGATAGTTGAGAGATGTGGAGTTTTGACCAATGCTTGCCGACCCTTGATCCCATTGGCTGGGCCTTTGAAACCCCCCCTCCTCCTTCTCTCCCCTGAATCCCCTAAGATGGAAAATGTCTAAGATAGAATTTTTATCTGGCTCCCTTGCAATTCCGTCTTACACAGATTTGATTGTATATATATATTATATTCAGTCGAACCTGCCATGACGGCCACCTGTATAATATGGTGACCTGTACAAACGGGAACTTTCTATTTCCCCCCTTGCATTTTTCCTATAATCTAACTGTAAAACGGTCACCTGTCCAACGCAGCTGCGGCCACCTAATTTCCTCAACCCATGGTCAAATTTACCTGCCTTTGACTGCCAGGTGTAGTCTCGAATCGCCGGGTGCTTTGTCATAAATTTTTAATCACCCCCCAACGCTGTGGGTGGGCCGTCATAATCCATTCACCTGTCGTTATTGTTAGTCCGTCCATTGAATATTTACCCAAATTGACCAATGGGTAACAATAAATTTTTGACTGCTGGTGGGGGAAGCGTGTGATCCATCATAAGCTATAAGCCCCGCCCACAATTCATACACAAATCGTATGTGAGGTGAGTGGTCACTGTTTTGTTTACCTAATCTACAACAAAGGTAACATGAACTTGCGACAGAAGCGCCGCTCGTTCTCCGAGTGGTGGTGACCCAGTGTTTGATTTACCATGGAACTATGTCTTTTTCGTGTCTTTGTTCGTTTATTTTATACCCTTGCACAAAATCAGCAACAGAAAAAGCTAACCAAGAAAAACAACGACCCCCCCCCCCCTCCCCCAATAAAAGAAAAAAAAAACCAACCCCTTCTTACACCCCTCATAAGAAATCAAAGACCCATTTTTGAATTTGCCTTACGACAGTCTAATCCTGAGAACAGCCCTGGTTTGGACCTCAGAAGGGAATGGTTTGCTTTCTTCATTTTGATCAGTCTTGCCTAAGACGGCCACCTGTGTTATACAGCCACTTTTCTTCTTGACAATGGGTGGCCATTTAACACAGGTTTCAACTGTATATATATTGTTTCTTGTTGTAAAACCAGTAGAATCCATCTATAGTCCACTGCTTACATCTTCTGCTGTCACCAACTACCATTGTTTCCATAGAATCAGTGCTAAAACTTTTGGGGTTCAAGAGGGTTGAGTTAAATAACATTTCACAATGTTGTCTTACTGCACACCTGTTTTCCAATGAAATAAATGCCTACACCATATCTTCATAAGCACTCAGCAAGGTTCTGTAAGAATTGAAGCTCATAAATGGGGATGATATTACTTTTAGATGTTTACCCATTCCTTGGACAAATCATTGTTAGTGAATACATTGTTACTCTGTTGACTTGGAATCTACTAGTAATCTAGTAAAAAGCTGTAGGGGGGTTTTCGCTGCATTTATTTTCTTTGTTTCATAATTCGTCTAAATTTTAAAAATATTCTATGTTGTAGAGGTTAGTATCTTTCGTGAATGCAGTGGTCACCTGCTGCCATTAGTTTGAAATTTAAAAAACCTGTTGTTCTTTCAATAAAACAGCTTTTTTATGTTTATTGACCGTTGTTAGATTAATTGAGATCTCTAATGTGAGAAGAAACCAGCAACTCATCTGTGAAGCTGCTTGAACGCAGTAACTGTTCAACAAATTACTTTTTTGAAGTTTGCATTGTTATATAGTCTGCATTTTACCTGAATCTTCAACACATTTAACCATCACATACTCTTAAAGCAAATTTACTGTAGAATTATTTGTTCAAGGCCCAATCTTATGGATGGCTGCCTTTTTGTTGCTGATCATATTTACGTGATGAATGGAGCTGGCTCTCCTGATTCGTCCTTATTTTTCACACTTTTCCACGAATGTGAGGTGCATTTATGGAGGTCTTATTTTTGGAGACTACTTCTGGATCGATACCAACAACACTGGATCGATTGGGGACTACCTACCATTATGTTCTATTCCATTCGCATTGCCAGTGGTCAGTTTCAGAGTTTCCCTGTCATTCATTCTTTCATTATCTTTTTGTGCCCCCCAATCTTGTTGTGTTGAAAAATGTTTTTATGTATACCATTTAGTAAACATACAGGTCACAGTTTGTTTGTTTGTTGTTTTTTTTTGGCAGATATTTGTTTTTAAAAGGAAAAATACCAACTGAAGAAGCATCAATGGATGAAATTCTGAGCTGGGAAAGTGAAGTTCTGCTGGTATGTATATATATATATCACTAACAGCTTGAGGGTTTTTTCTTTTTTCTTCTTCGCTTTTAAAGGAGGTAGATATGGGGTAGGTATATATACTTTGTAGACATGTTGGCTTTTCCCAGCGTAAAGCTAAGAATGGCGGCTTTACTCTCTGTTTTTGCACTATGTACTCCTTTATTCTATCAAAACTCAAAACTAGTAAGAACTATTATTCTTAAAACATGTCAAACTCTTCAGAGTTTTATCAAGAGATGCACTAAGACAACGGATGAAAAATGTCAGGTCTAGAAAAAAAGTTCACATCCACATCACTGTACTTGGGCAGCTTTAACTTTAATGATAATTGTTCCCCCCCCCCCCCCCCCCCTACGTTCATTGATATTCCGAGGTATGGAGATGCCTGTACAGACTTATGTTTTTTTAAAATGTTGTGATGATATTTTTTTACTTCTTTCAGCCTGTAATTGCTCCATTTCTGGTCTTTCTTGTTGGTCAAGCGAAGAGAGACAGCAAGCTTATTGAAAAAGTGGAAAAAGCTCTACAATTTGTAGACAAAAAACTGGGTGCTTCTAAATTCCTGACAGGGGACACATTTGGAGTTGCAGACGTGTGTGTTTTCTGCACCATCTACCCACTTTTTAATTTGAAAAATTCAAGTAAGTAAATTTAAATTCTGTATATATTTGTTAAATGACGATCACTATTGCTCTTACTTTTTATTTTGTACTTCATGCACAGTGTATGCACACTGCTTCATACAATTTAAACTTTGTTTTGTATTTCAAAAGATTATTTTAGAATGTTTATTTTGTGACATGGAAAGCATCATAGACTTGCATAAAGAGGATCTACGTTTTCTTGAACAAGTGTTTAAGAAAGTTACGGAGGATCAGATGGACAGAGAGAGTCACCAACGAGGAAGTGTTCAGGAAAACAAGACAGATCTTAGTCAGAGATGAGGTAGGAAGAAGGTGGTGGTTATGGAATGGACATACTCTGAGGAAGTCAAGCTGCTGCATAACAAGGAAAATGTTGGATTGGAATCCACAGGGAAAGAGATCGGGGGGAAGACCACGTGGAACCTGGAGAAGAATCACAGAAATTGATGTACAGAAAAGTGGGAAGACATGGAATAACATCAAGAAGTTAGCCAAGGATAGAAAAGGGTGGATAGTGTTTGTCCGTGGCCTATACCCTGGTGCAGGGTGAGAAAGGCAATGATGATGATGACGATTGTCTGACAAGGACTACAAGAATGTTTATTGTGTGACAAGGATTACAAATTCTAAGAATTCTGTTTGTTTTCTTTATGCCATTTGAAAATGAGTTTTGAATGAATATTGTCTATGTCACAAACACTGTAAAAAACATTGGAGTAGTGCATTTTTTCCTAAAACAGCAATGCTTTGAAATACTGTTTTTGAACAAACACAGTTTCGTTTTATTTTCTTTCTCTCTTTTTCTTCTGTGGAGTGGAGATGTAAGTTAGGAGCAATTACTAAGAAGTTATATGGTTTTTTTTTGACAATGACAATGACAATCTTTATTCATCTCGCAGGGAGAAATTTGTCTTGGTCGTTAACAATGGCAGTAGACGTTACAAAAGTTAGACCTAAAGGTGCACTCACGCAAACACACAACAAGACAGGACATTAGGCCAAGTAAATAGATGTCTCACGTGCTGGGACAACCCGCTCTCTCTCTCTCTCTCTCTCTCTCTCTCTCTCTCTCTCTCTCTCTCTCTCTCTCTCTCTCTCTCTCTCTCTCTCTCTCTCTCTCTCTCCCCCTCCCTCCCTCCCTCCCTCCCTCCCTCCCTCCCTCTCTCCCTCCCTCTCTCTCTCTCTCTCTCTCTCTCTCTCTCTCTCTCTCTCTCTCTCTCTCTCTCTCTCTCTCTCTCTCTCTCTCTCTCTCTCTCTCATTTGTAGCACTGTGTGTTCAGTAACCTCATTATAGTTGGTTCGAATGAATTTCTATATCTGTCTGTTCTTGCTTTATTGGAAATGTATCGTTTACTGCGGGTCGATAGTTGAAATTCCGATGTCAGTGGGTGGCTATGGTCACTAAGCATTATTTCCGCCTTTTTTAGAACTTTTGTCTTGTGCAGATATTCAAAGCTCTACCAATTGTTCTTGTGCCTTTCTTATCAACTTGTTTATTTTTATAATGTGCTGCCTTCCCAAATTGCTACCATAGCAAGTGATACCAAAATTTATCGAAGTTTCTATGGTGGTGGTGTAGAATATCTGAAGGATGGATGGATTCAGATTGAAAGACCAAAGTTTGCTCAGAAAGTACAGCCTCTGATTTACCTTTTTAATGATATTGTTTTCGTGGTTTTGTCATGTAAATTTGTTGTCGATTGTAAGACCAAGATATTTGTATGAATCTGTGATTTCAATTGTTTCTTGTTCAATTACGAGTGCTGGGATTGTTGGTTTTTCTCTTCTAAAATCAAAAATCATTTCCTTTGTTTTTGAGAGGTTCACTTTTATAAAATATTAGCTGTGTTTGCGTGTGTACGTGCGCCAACGTGGTCTCATTAGCCTCTCTACCATTGCCTATCGACTCCTGTTTTATAGATGAAAAAAAGACTGAATAGACTACTTTTTATCTAGTTTGGTTCATGTCGCGATCAGTTTTGACTGAAATCTTTTGTGGGTGATTAGGGGATGCCACTGTTAAGTCAAACTTCTTTTCTTTCCTTTTATTATTTCTATCTTTTTTTTCCCCCCCCCCAGCATGAAATGACCTTTATTGTATTTATGTGCTTCTGATTACTCCAACAAACGAACAAACGATTTCATTATTTTTATGAAGTTTTTGTTTCATGTTGTTGTCAGGTTTGGCAGACAAGTTTACCAACCTGCGGAGATTTTATGATGAGGTCAGTTCCAAAGCTGTTGTTCAAGGTGTGCTGTCAGAGGAGTGGAAAGAGAATAACCAGCAGGATGCTTTCAAGGTATCTTGTCCAGTAACCCCCATATCTCTCTCTCTCTCTCTCTCTCTCTCTCTCTCTCTCCCTCTTTCTCTGTCTGTCTGTCTGTCTGTCTGTCTGTCTGTCTGTCTGTCTGTCTGTCTGTCTGACTGTCTGTCTGACTGTCTGTCTGTCTGTCTGTTTGTCTGTCTGTCTGTCCGTTCATCCGTCGGTCTCTCTCTCTCTCTCTGTCCCCCTCTCTCGGTCCCTCTCTCTCGGTCCCTCTCTCTCGGTCCCTCTCTCTCTTTTTCTTTTTCTTTCTCTTTTTTCCCCTCTCTCGTGTGGGCTTGTTCTGTCTGTCTGTCTACAATGCATACATTGGAGATTGTTCAAATTTTTTCTTTAGCATTTTTTTTACTAAATGGCCATGGAACGCTGTGTGTGAGTGTGTATGGTAAATATGAAGGGACACATCAGAAAACGCGTTATTTAACAATTTTGAAAAAAATGAATTACCACCCTCAGCTCTTTTAGGCTGGAAAGCTCTTCCAGCCACATAAATATTTTGTCAAATGGATAGCTATAATTTCACTTTCATTCACTCTTATTTCCCTGCGAGTGATTGAAAACCAAAGATATTATACTGTAATATTTGTAAGTTAATTAAAACATTTTAATGTTTGTTGGTAATCGGACTTATTTGTGAATGCATATTAACCTCCATCTGTCTGTTGGGATGCTGCTTTCTACTTTGTCCAGGTTGGCTCTGCAAGACAAAGTCTAAGAAGCCTGCCTCCTATATGAAAATGAACTAAAAAAAACAAAAACAATTACATCTTCTTCACTAACATATTTTGTTTTTTTCCCCATAAGGCCTCATTATTGGCTCAACGTTTCCCCCCTATACCTGGTGCGAGTGCTTCTGTCAGCCCAGCTGCAGCCAAGCCCAGTGCTTCTGTCAGCTTGTCTGTTTCATCTGAGGACCAGGTAGTCTCTCGTTGTTTAGTTTAGTTCAGTAAGAGTTTTACAGCGCTATATAAGGTCATGTGAGTGCGCTCTCTTATTGTTTAGTGTGGATTTTGTTGTTTTTTTTATCTGCGCTGTTTGATCTTGTTTAGTTCGTGATAGATAGGAATAATATCACCAACTTCTGATGTTGATGTGCCCACATTTTATATGTGAATGTCCTTTGCATTTTGAAATTTTCCAGATGCTGACTGGATGGTTAGAATTATCATGTAGATGTGCTTGACTTTCTTACACACTCAAACTCACCTCTATTTTTCTTCTACTTTATTCTGTCCCTTTGTTTCCCATAGAAATGTCCAAAATAGAAGAAACATAATTTTTAGAAATTGTTTCAAGTGTTTTGTAATGAGAAATTCATGGTCTGTCTTCAAATATTGATTTTCTCACTCTCCCCATTCCTGTCTTGTCCTAATTATAAGATGAGATTCATTGATATCACATGACTGTGCAATGGGCAGGATCTTTTTATTTTTCTCTTTTTCTGGTTCTGTCTGCATCATTTCTCCACCTCTTAAACAACTCAAGTGTTTTAAGGGATGTTAAACATATACAATTTCATTTTGATGAAAATAAAAGATCAATCATTTTGAGCAACGAGTTACCTGTCTATGGGTATGTTTTCTAGCCTTCCCACTTGTGAAGCAGATTTTGTGTCTGTCTTGACAGGTTCCTGTGGAGAAAGTTTCGCAGGAAGAAGCAGATGCTGCCCTGAAGGCTTGGGGGAAGGACCCAAAAGACTGCCCAAAGCCAAGAGTCCGGCAACATCCAGTGTAAGAAGAAGCTGATGTTGCTAGTTGGCATTAAAATGTAGTTACTTTAGAATATTTGAAAGCCTAATTGTTTTGTTCTCGCTTTTTCTGTACTCTGTATAATGGTACCGCCTCTTCATACTGTTAGTAGAAGGATGTGTATCTGTCCTTTGCATTTCATGTCCTTAATTGTTTGGACGTTGGGTTAAAAGAAAAGTTTCCCCTTTTTGTTGGTTGGCAGATCCTTATCTCTCCTTTTTTGTGCTTGTTACTCTCTTGTAACACCTTCTCTTCAGCACTTCTATGACCTATTTGTGTTACAAGTGCCATAAATCATCATCATCCTGTGCCAGATCTGCAACAGACATTGGTGATCATGGTTCTCCATTCATTCCTTTGCTCAGGTGCTCTCAAAACAACGACATTTCCCTGATCTTTCCCTGTTACCCATTTGTTTAGGTTCTCTAAATATGTTGTTCTGGGCCTACCTCTGCCTCGCTTGCCCTCAATTTTGCCAGTGAGAGCTAGATGTTCAAGACCCTTATGTCTATTCAGGTGTCCCAAAAACTGAATTTGTCGTTTCCTTTTTTGTTGTTGTTTTTTTGTTTTTTTGTTTAAACTACTTACTCTTACTGAAACAAAGGAAAAGTCTCACTTTCGAATGACACAAGAAATAGATAAAGGACAGGTGTACATTTGCAGAGAAACTGTTCAGTTGTTTGATATGATATTCTGTCTGTGTCTGTCATCTGCATGAGGACCCGGCTTGTTGATATGATGGTAAACTGGTCGTAAGAAGACGTTGAGTTCTCTTTCTAATGTGAACAATGTATCAAAACTCTGCCACCTGTACAATCAGTCTTTTCTACTTACCTTTCAGGGCCAACATGAGCTCTGTAGCTGGCAAGCACTAAACCTTCTTTTTAATTGTTCTCTTTTAGCTTAAAAAAAAATCTAATTGGTATTGTTGTAATGAAAAAGTGTCTTAGATGCTGTTTGTATACACTAAATAGTGGAGTTTGCCTTTAAAAAGTGTTCCTCATTGTGACCCCTATACTTGGCAGCCATGCTGAAGCAACTACATTTGAATTAGACTCTCTGTCTGACTATTTGACAGAATACCTGAAAGAATTGTGTCCTTTGTTCGGATAGCATACATAATGAGATTTTAAAATTCACATGCATTTGCTGCACAAGTTTATGCGCACGTACGTGAATTGACTTTTCTGTCTTTCAGCCTACCAGATCCAAAGGCCCGGAATATCATGGTTACGAGTGCTCTCCCCTACGTCAACAATGTTCCTCACCTTGGTAACATTATAGGCTGTGTGCTTAGCGCTGATGTGTATTCCAGGTAAGAGATGCTCAGTGAATTTATTTTTAATTTTTTAATTTGAAAATGTTTTGTGTGTATGTTTTTCAGTTTTGGTACTGTTTTTGTTTTTCTGAACTTTTGTTGGTGTGTGTGTGTGTGTGCAGATATGGTTGGTCACATACTTGTGTTTTGATGTATGTTTGTTGTATGTATATTTGTGTATGAATTTGTCTGTGTTTGTGTGTGTGTGAGAGAGAGAGAGATATAAAGATGACATTTTTTGGGTATTTTCTGTTTGTAAGTAGTTCATAATGATTTGAGAGATTCAGTTATTTACCCTGTTACTATCACTCTATCTTGGTTACTCTCTCTCTCTCTCTCTTTATTTTTTACTGTCCCCTTTACTGTCACTTTCTCTCTTATTTCTGTTCTCTATGCCTGTCTTTCTCTGTCTCCCCCACCCCCACTTCCTCTCTCTTCGCCTGATGATTTCCCTCTTAGGCAGGATGCAGTGGACTGTGTGATGCAGTCTGCCCTGTTGACTTTGACTTTTTATCATTATTGTAATTTGAACTGTAGTGACATATTCTCAAAATAAGACCTGTGACTCCTTTTATTGTGTTGTTTCACATTTACATGAACAATGGGGTGGGTTGTTGGCAGGTGCTCTGGTGTGGTTTACACCTTCTGTCCTATCAAACGTCTATCATCCTTATCTGTTCTTCTTCTTTTCTTTGTAACTCTGTAGTAACGCCTCTAATCTTTGGCAGATGTATGACCTATTTGTATTGCAAGTACCATAAAACCTTAACTACAATACAATTAAATTAAACTAGACTAGACCCAAACCAAATTAAACTAAACTAAACTAAGCTAAACTGACGAATGAAATCGCCCCTCAGGTTTGCCCGGCTGCGTAACTACAATGTGCTGTATGTCTGCGGGACGGATGAGTACGGCACGGCCACCGAGACCAAGGCCATGGAAGAGGGCGTGACTCCGAAGGAGATCTGCGACAAGTACAACAAGCTGCACACACAGATCTACGAATGGTTCAACATCGACTTTGATTATTTCGGCCGCACCACCACCGAGCTTCAAACAGAGTGGGTTATGGTTTTCAGATGAGCGTCAGATAATTTTAGAAATGTTAATGCTTTTGAAAAATTAGATTCTTACCGTTCTTGTCATTATGATTTGTCTGTTTTTTCACATACACACACACACTCACCAGTACACACAAAAACATACATGTGAGCACGATCATACACACAAGGCTCCTGTGTGGGTGGTTGGTGGGTGCTCTGGTGTGGTTTGCTCCTTCTTTCCTATCAAACATCTATCGTCCTTATCTCCCCTCCTTTTTTATGTTTGTTACTCTCTTGTAGCACCTCTAATCTTCTGGCGCTCATTTGACCTTATGCAGTTGCGAGCGTCAAAACCTTTACTAAAACAAACAAAACCCACACGCACGCACACACACACACCCACATTCACACACACACACACCCACATTCACACACACACAACACACACACAACCCCCCCTCCCCCAACAATCTTGCAAAATAATTTGGGATGAAAGTCAAGTCCAGTTCATGATTTGTTAATTGAACGATTGGATTATGTTTTATATTTAAAAATTTATGAAATCATGATGCCTCAGTAAAACCCAGCAATAGTTTGCGAACTTTATTTATCTGCCATGTACAAATTTAGTGTCAAGGGTTCAAGTGTGATTCGAATTATTTTCTCGTATTCCTTGAATATTTCTTCACACGGTGTCCTGATGGAGGACCAAATGCTCCACCTTGAAAGAGACCATAAACTAAAAATCAGTTGTACTCTCCACAGAATTGCTCAAGACATCTTTTGGAAGCTGTATCAAGAAGGCTATATTCTCAAAGACAGTATAGAACAGCTATACTGCACCAAGTGTAACAAGTAAGTGGCAGTGCATTTTGGAAAATGTAATGCTTTAATGTGTATAATCAGAGTGAGTGGTCGGGAGTTGCTTTGATCTGGTCTGCTACTTTTTTCCTATCAAACATTTATCGTCCTTGTCCCTCCTCTTTTTTTTCTTTGTATGTTACTTTCTAGTAACACCTCTAATCTTCGGCATGTATATGACCTATCTGTGTACCTAGTGCCATAAAAGTCTTACTAAAACTAAAGTATAATCAGGTAATTTTGGTTCTCTGTATTGTGACATCTTCACTGTTTCTATTCATTTCCTGCTGAGTACTCTTGATACAGTAACTGTCGTGAGAAGCTTTGAGAATGACATAGTTACCAGTGCCTATGGTGATATAGTCGGTGTTTTCATTGTATCTAGTATCTCTGCCTTTTTTACTGGCTTTAGTATCCCAAAAGCCTGGGAGTTGGATCAGCCTATCTCCTATGAGTTTGGGCCCTACATAGTGTCTTTGGGAAAGGCACTTTACATAAATTTTACTCACTTCACCCAGGGGGAATGGGCACCCGTATATAGACAGCAAAAGATTGTGTCAGTTTGTTCGTGTTTAAGCAGTTAATCAACTGCTTGCACTGCATGCTTTCCAAAAAGTGGGGTAATAATAGTTGTAAAGCATGTATAGTGTGCTGTAGAGCATGGATATGGGCTATGTAAATGCGATTGTTATTTTAATTATAATTATTATTATTTATATCTTCCTCTTCACAGATTCCTTGCAGACAGATTTGTGGAGGGCACATGCCCGATGTGTGGATTTGATGATGCCAGAGGAGACCAGTGTGATGGCTGCGGTAAACTCATCAACGCGGTGGAGTTAATCAACCCCAAGTGCAAGATGTGCAAGAGCTCTCCTGTGGTGAAGAGCACGCAACATTTGTTTGTTGATCTGCCCAAGGTGGGGACGTTATAGGAGTTGTTGTAGCAATAGTACTAGAGGCATTTGACTTGAGATAGAAAAAAAGCTTTGTTTGGCTCCCAGTTTGACTCTGAATAACCTTTTGTTTTTAGAAAAAGATCGTTAAAGCTTTTTTCTTCAGTTCGCTAGTCTGCAAATGCATACTTGGCCTGGGATTATAGCTGTAGCAATAATGCAAGTGGTATTTGACTTGAGAGTTGTAAGTTTGACTCCCAGCTTGGCTTTAAAAGTATTTAGATTCTTACAAAGGGTAATCTAAGCTATGTTCTTCCATTCAACCTTCTGCAAATGCTTACTTAGCTATACATAATATGAATTGTTGCAACAGTATGCGCTTAACAAGCTGCAACTGTTTATGTCCCCCAAGGGACTGAAACTGTATTAACCTCTGCATTGTTGAGGCATTTCCGTCTGTATTTTTCCAAGACAAGAAGGAAAAATTGTATTTATTCAAGAAAGATTAAAAAACATAGCCAAAATATTTTTCAACCTATTCAAGAATAAAGAATGGCACAAGTGGATATTACATCTTCTAAAAGTTCCTCTATAGATCAGAACAAACATTGCAGAGAACCAGTTTTGGAGAACACAAGAGAGTACATACATCTACACAGCACTAAAGAGGTTAACTGAAATGAACGAATCAATTGTGGGAGTTATTGTCTACTGATATGAGTCTTTTATTGAGGAGGATTTGTCTTTGTAAGCAAGACCTTCGACATAAAGAAATGTACGCCAGGCTTTGCCTTTTGTGATGACAGTGTTGTTGTTGCTTTAAAGTGTTCTTTATCTTTGTTTCTTTCTTCTGTTCTTTTCTTCTCCCTCTTTTTTTTTTTCTTCTGTTTTTGTCTTCTTTATCTATTCTTTCTGCTGATCTTGTCTTCTTCCTCAATTTTATTCTCTTTTTTTTTCTTTCTTTTTATGATTATTTGTTTCTGTTGTTGACACTGCTTACTTTTCTTTCTTCATTTTCTCTTTTCTCCACCTAAAGAATTAGTTCTTTGTTTCTGCAGTTAGAGCCCAAGCTCAAGGATCACCTGAACCGCGTCTACGAGTCGGGCACCTGGACAAATAACGCGAGGGTCATCACGAACTCGTGGATCCGTGACGGTCTCAAACCTCGCTGCATCAGCCGCGACCTCAAGTGGGGAACTCCCATCCCGCTAGAGGGCTACACGGACAAAGTGTTCTACGTGTGGTTCGACGCCCCCATTGGCTACATCAGCATCACGGCCAACTACACGGACAAGTGGAGAGAGTGGTGGAAGAATGATGAGAAGGTACGTTAGTCCTCGAGAAGGGACAGGATGATGAGTTCTTTTCTCTTCCTCCTTCTTCTTCTTCTTTTGTCTTCTTCTTCTCCAGCTTCTATCATCTCCTCCTCCTGACTTCTTCTTCTCCTGCTTCTATCATCTCCTCCTCCTGACTTTTTCTTTTCCTGCTTCTGTCTTCTCCTCTTCCCATATTTTCCTTTTTCTTCTTTCTTTTCTTCTTCATCTTTCTCCTCCTCCCCCTCCTTCTCCTATCATCCTTTTCTGCTTCTGCATCTTCTCCTTCCTCCTCCACTTATCTTCTTTTCTTCCTCGCATTGCTTTTTCTTTATCGTTTTTTCATGTCTTCCGCCTCCTTTTTTTCTCAGCTCCTGCTTCTTCTTTCTCTTCTTCTTTTTCTTTCTCCTCCTGTCTTCTCCTGGGTCTTGGAAGGAATTGACTCTAGGTAGTCTCTTAAGCTTCAGTGCAACTGGGGGTTTTCTTTTCATATTAGGACTATATTTTATCCAATTGAACATAAGGAACTTTACTTTTTAAGAATCTTTGGGTTTGTTTTTTTAGAAAGAATGATGTACCATTTATTTTTAGGGGTCTCATAATTGTAACTGCTGCCCACAGTTTCTGGAAAACGCTGATAACTCAGGCAGTATTAAGCTGGATTACGACGAGGATTTTTTATTTCCTGTCGTCTCAGGAGTTCAAGGTTTACCACCCATTCTGCTTGATCCTGTCAGAGATAAATTTGGAGGTCCTGCCTTAACCCTATCCGTATGCCCTGGGGTCATTTTGTACCCCCGTGGTTGTATTCTTCACATTTTAGAACACGGCTGTTCCACTCAGGATCACTTAGTTGCCGGCCGACGTGACCTCCGAGATGAGGTCACGCCCCAGTCACGCTACCTGCGGGCGCTCGGCCTCGCGGTCAGTGGCTCCCCCGCGATGTTATGTATTGTACACATAAAAGAACACCAGTTCTTATGAAAGCCGAGAAAGTCAATGAAACAACAACCAAATGATCACGTGAAGACGAAGGTGTAGTCTACGACAGTATAATTTTTATCATGGAGAAGTAAAAGGAAGTGTTGTTTAAAAGAGGGGGAAAGTGGCTTTCATCATAGATTGGTTATTACAAACAAACATGTTTTTAAAAAAATTATTAAAAATAAACGGACCGACAGATTGTTACAGTCTTCATTTTCAGCTCACAGTCAGACTTTGAACTTTCAAACACACTTACGTTTATGAGGTACGACCAAAAAGTCTTATTGCTATTGTTGATTAATGCACACAGTCTTGTCAATGAGTGGGAAAACACTTTTACTTCTACCAGCAACCGACTGCCTGACTTTGTTGAATATATTTGTTCTTTGTTTTCTTGTCGGTGAGCTTGCTAGTCCAATGATATTCTGTGTGTGACTATCCTTTGAAACACTAATGGCTGTCCTTTTGTTTTGAACTTCAACTGTCCTTTCGTCTGAGATGTGTTAAGCTTTCGTCTGATCAGATGTGTTGCAACTTTTTCTTCTAACGGCGTGAGTGGCTCTGTGTCCGATTTCAATAGTGTTAACTCTAATGTCGTTTCATGTTTGACTAATGGGGAGCTGGTACTGTCTGTGAACTGTTTCGTCTTCGTTTTAGGTGTGGATGTCAAAATATGAGTTTTTGGTGATGTAAAATGAGTGTTCGTCTGTATGTGTAAATGTGTTGTCAATGGATTGAGTGGTAAAGGGCTGAGCACCATCGCCTGTATTTACAGAGGAAACATCTGGGGTGGGGGTATCCGTTAAGCTCGCAGACTCCACTGCCATAGGAGCGGGGAACGGAGAACGCAACTCGTGTCCTTCCGTAAGCAAAGGAATGCGCTCTTTAATGCACCCTTTGCTAAGTTTAACACAGCGAGCTCACACAGAGCACTCGTTAATGCTTATGCTTGCGTCGTAAGCGGACCAAACATAGGCACTGTCTTCTACACATTTCTGTGCGGCCTTCGAAGCCGCATTTGTAATTTGCTTCCGTAGTGTGTATATTGGCGAGCCACATTTCCTGCACAGAGTGTTGGAATGCTTGTCGGCTGTGTCGTTGTCAATGTTCAGTCTATAATATTGCAATAAGTCAGACTTAAAGTTTTTACACAAAAATCGACGCTTCTTAGAATCTTTATTTTTTTAAACTTCTTCCACCACAAGTACGACACAACTTGTTTAAATTCTCAAAGTGGATGTTATAAGAGTGTTCCATCTTTGATGTTAAAAGGCTCTATAATTATAAACACACAAGAAAGTCAGACGGCAAGTTCCCGCTTCACAGAGTTTTTCTTTGCACCGAGCGTTGCACTAGACTAGTCACATAAAGTGCGCTAGTTCATGGAAATTTAGCTCGTACCCTGAGATTTTTCACCACAATGGAGAGAATAGATTTATAAAAAGAAATATGAAGGTTAAAACAAAAATTGTCGGTTCGAATTATTAAAATTCTCTTTTAAATCCAAAAAATTCAATAACACAGAGCTGTACAACAGTGGTAGTATATAGGTATCCCAAGGGAGTATAAAACGAGATAGAAACTGGTTTCAAACTGTGGGTTATAGAGGAGATGCTGAGTTTTTATTTGGTATGTAACACTCCTAGGTTTACGGGATGGAGAAAGGGAGTACTATGCTGTAAATTCCAGTTAATTTCTGGAAATTGTACCCTTTCCGCGCGGAGCGGTCAGATCTAGGAATAGGCCGGTGGAAGTGGCGTAAAGCGTCGAGATTTATTACCTCCCGCGAGGGGTCACAGGGGTCAGAAGGGTCAGACGGGCTACAACTAAGTGCGCCGCTCGGAGAGTGAAACTGAACAGCCGTGAGAATACTTCTATTGCGAAGATCTCTTTGAAACATTCAGTATTTCTCAAGAAGTCATTTTGACAAGCTGCTATGCAAAGCGTACGGATTGGATTAACGAGTAAATTTCCTCTTAGGAAAATGGTGGCAAAGAGTTCCCCACATCGTATGGATACGATAGTAACACACGATGTACGGATAGGGTTAAATGATGTTCTTTTTTTTCCTTCCGAAGCTGCTTTTAAAAAAACTCTCAACAGCCAATGTGCCTTTTACATGGCCACGACTTTCTCAAGGGGGACCTCTGAGGTTTTTGCCTTTTTATAAGTAAATTGGCTTTGCTTCCACCCGCTCAAAGATCTGGGGTGTGAAGACTCCGAGAAAAAAAAGGTTGTACCGTATTTTATCTTATTTTTTATTATTGTTGGTTTAATATTATTTCATTGTAGTTTTATTCATTTTTATGTGTATTGTTTTGGTGTGGATTTTTTTTCTTATTTATTTCCCTGTACATTAAAAAAAAAAAGAAAGAATTTTAAAAGTTTGTTCTGTGTTCTTCTCATATTTTCATCTCATTTGATTCCCTAGGTTGAGATGTACAACTTCCTTGGCAAAGACAATGTGCCTTTCCACAGTGTGATTTTCCCCTCGTGTTTGCTTGGAGCCAATGACAAGTATACTGTTGTCAACCACATGATTGCCACAGGCAAGTAACGTTTTCTCTGTGTGTTTGTGTACGGGGCGGCAACCACAGTATGGGTGGTAGCAGCAACCGCAGCAACTGTTGTAGAATTGGTAATAGCAGCAGCAGTAAAAATGGTATTGATAGTAGTAGCTGTATTAGTGGCAGTAGTAGAAGTAGTGATGCAGTTGCTGAAGCGAAGCTATAGAGGTAGTTGCAGTAATGGGGGGTGTAGTAGTAGTTGCAGCTGTATCGGTAGTGGTGGTGGTAGCAGCAGTCATGGTATTAGCAGTAGCAGTAAATAGCATGGGTAGTAACAGTAGCAGCGTAGGAGTTATAGTAGCAGTAAGCAGCAGTAGAGCAGTAGCAGCATCAGCAGTAGTAGGGATAGTAACAGTAGCAGCAGTAACAGCAGTAGCAGTAGCCATGATGTCTGTTGTGTAGTGGTTGGGTTCTTTGCCATTGCACACAGAAGATGTGAGTTTGATTTCAGTCTGGGAAAGTTTTGTTTTCAAGTATCTTTCGTCTGTCTGCCAGGACGTTGTATTTGTATCTCTCTCAGCCCAGGTTGCCCCGACTGGCAGGGTAGAAGCAACGCACCTCCTAAATGATCTGAATCATGCTGATTGGGCCTTAAAACATTAACAGTTACACAATAGAAATATGTTGTAGGTGCAAAAGTTTTCTTCTTCTGAATCACATCTCACTTGAAGTCCACTATCTATCATATACTGGGCTGTCCTACTCAGTTCTTCTGAATCACATCTCACTTGAAGTCCACTATCTATCATATACTGGGCTGTCCTACTCAGTTCTTCTGAATCACATCTCACTTGAAGTCCACTATCTATCATATACTGGGCTGTCCTACTCAGTTCTTCTGAATCACATCTCACTTGAAGTCCACTATCTATCATATACTGGGCTGTCCTACTCAGTTCTTCTGAATCACATCTCACTTGAAGTCCACTATCTATCATATACTGGGCTGTCCTACTCAGTTCTTCTGTTGGCCCATTTAGTTTCCCCTGTTATGTTCATGGGGTTGGCCACATTTCCGGTTTCAGTGTTGTTGTATTAGTTTTAAAAACATCTATACATATATTGTCTGAGTCTTGTGTGTTGTGTTTGCAGTTTGAAGATAATCACTTGTTCTCAGTGGGACAGCTTTTGGTTTTTATCTAGTGTCTGTGGTGCTCTAAATAGTGTTTTTATGGTTGCAAGAGTACCTGTGTAATATTTTATTTTTCATTTTGTTTTTTAGAGTACCTCAACTACGAGGACACAAAGTTCTCCAAGTCCCGAGGCTCTGGTGTGTTTGGTGACCAGGCTAGAGACACAGGCATCCCAGCCGATGTGTACCGGTTTTATCTGCTCTATCTCAGACCCGAGTCTCAGGTTAGTCTAATATCATCACAGTGCTAACGTTTTGGGGATTGAAGTCCTTTACTTATTTTTTTTTACTTTTGAGATGTGAAAAAAACATTCTCATTTGCTTAAAGTAGGATTAGGTCGGGCTCGCAAAATTAGCGTCCGCGAGTAACGAACTACTCATTGGCACTACCCGCAAACGAGCGGACGGGTAACGAACCGTCCGTTTGTGAAGAGTAGTTCGCTACTCGCTACTCGCTACACATCGGGCAGAGACAACAGTTCGTTTAGCGAGCGAGCGGACGGGCGGACCGAGAGACTCCATGCATTCGAGCAGGCGGACGGACGGACAGGAACGACTCCTTCCATTGCCTACAACTTACAACCCCCGTCCCCCCGAAAAAAATTAATTAAAAAATCACCCTTTTGCCTCACATTGTAGCTAGGCGTTCATGGCGGAAATTTCCGGCCTCCGCGATAATAGGAACGTACACAGTGTGCCCATCGCACGAGGTGAAAGGTTACACACATAGTACTACGTCACCAGCCTCTCTCACTCCCTGTGGCACCGCTAGTGGTTTGAAACATCAGGCCTAATTAACAAACAATAGACGATGGGTCTAATCTCGCGTCGAGTATCTCGTCTGCTAGAGTTCGTCCGTTCGCCCGCCTGCCCAGTTAATAAAATTGTGGGGCGGACCCAAAAAACGAACTGACTTGAGGCTTGAGGTCTGCAGTCCGCTCGCTGAGAGAGTCAAATTGTGGAGCGGACCCAAAAAACTAACTGTCTTGAGGTTCGCAGTTCGTTCTCATGGCCGTCCGTTACCCGTTCGCTCTGACTGAGTCCGCGAGTAACGAACCCGTCCGTCCGCTCGCCCCAACTCTAGCTTAAAGCCTTATGCTGATTTTAAAAAATAACATAAAAAAAAAAATTAGTACCCTCTTCGATTTAATGAAGGCATGCAAGGGTGCCGTTGGGATAAGCTTGTGGACTATCGTAATTCACATTTGCCCAAGTCAGTCGTGACATTCATCACAAGGTTTGCACCATAATGAAGTAATGCCCACTTCGAATGAGGTAGAAAATGGGGAAAGAAACTGGCTTTCTTTGCTGGGGTCTTAAACTGACAAGAGATGTGCTAAGAGATGTATTGCACTGAAGATATACACCCTTTTCTCTGTAATGCAAGTTTGATCGCAGTAGTATGGGCTATCTGTAATCTCGTCACTGCAAATGTTATTGCAATACAACAGTTTTCAGCTATAGTATTATGAAAGTTGTGAAGGGAAACTGAGCAGTGACTGACTCTTCATACTGGTTTTCTCATTCTTACAGTTGTGGCTAATCTAATTGCATTCTAGCCTAACTTCCTGAGGCTATTGTGACACCCCACCTCGCCAGACCTCCTGAGCGATTCAGGCCTATATTTGATGAAATCATTTTTATTTTTCACTAAACTGCACACTTACAACTTCCACATGGGTGCAGACATCTTGGTCAAAGTAAATGTAGGACAGCTGTTTTGATTGGGTGATAAATGTAGACTCTAAACCTCCAACAATGAGATGGGGTCTCACTCACCAGTGTGCCAGTGCTTGGGTACTCGCAAACATTAAAATGTGGGTGGTTGGCGGGTACTCTGGTGTGGCTTGCTCTTTCTTTCCTATAAAAAATCTATTGTCTCTATCTTCCCTCCTTCTTTTTTATGTTTGTTACTCTGTTGCAGCACCTCTAGTCTTCGGCACTTATTTGACCTTATTATGTTGCAAGTGGCGTAAAACTCTTACTAAAACTAAAAAGACATTAAAACTTGCCTCTGGTGTACCAGTGACCAGGACTCATGAGGTTACAGTACCTTCAATAGTTCACGATGTGTGTGATGTCATGATTTGTCTGTTTTGTAACATTCAGCCTTGCAATAATATACCCCAGTTCTCAAAAGTCCAGAATGAATGATCGTGAATGCAAATTTGTGTCAATAGGATATTTTCCAGAAACTCTCCTGGTAGCTCCTCAATTGTTGCTATAAATTATTGTTATTTTTTAAGGTTTCACTCTTGTCCCATATCCTTATTTTAAAAAAGATTTTTTCTTTTCTCTTCAGGACACAGCTTTCAGCTGGGATGATTTCCTATTGAAAAACAACAGCGAGTTGCTGAACAACCTTGGAAATTTTATCAACAGGTAAGAACAGTTACATTTTCAGTCATGTTTTTGGGGGATAGGGGTTTGGTTTGTTTTAAAGGTATAGATGACTGAGGTAAGCCTAAAACTGGAGAAGAGCTGATGTTACTTGACTAAAATGTAAAAACTGTTACATTTTCAGTTGTTTTATATATATATATATATATATATATATAGATATATATATATATATATATATATATATATATAAAGAGAGAGAGAGAGAGGGAGGGAGGGAGAGAGGGTACTGTGCATGCCTGAGAAATAAGTTTAAAGCAATTAATTCTGTGATGTTCCCTTAGAGTTCAGTTTGATTCACCTTAGCATTAAAATCAATAAGTCCATCATTAAGAAAAAGTTCTCATTTTGACACAAGTCAGCTCTTTATGGCAGGTTCATTTGTTTTTGTTTTGTTTTAAAAAATTAAAACAGATTTCTTTGTTTTATGTTTTTTCTTTCTTTCTTTCTTTTCTTACTTTTATATTTATTTTCAATTTCATTTCCTTTTAATTTGAAAATGTTTTTTAACTTTAAAATTAGAATCAATATGTCCATCATTTAGAAAAAGTTCTCATTTTGACATGAGTCAACTCTTTATGGTAGGTTCATTTGTTTTTGTTTTGTATTGTTTTTAAAAATTTCTTCATTTTCTTTCTTTCTTTCTTTCTTTCTTTCTTTTCTTACTTTTATGTTTTTTTCCAATTTCATTTTCTTTTAATTTGTTAATGTTTTTAAACTTTATTTTGCATGGTTTTGCACTTTGGCTATGGTTTTGATGGTCAGTAGATTTGACACTGAAGCTGCTCTGTGATCTCATTTCCCAAGGGCCCTGATGTTCCTGAACAACAACTTTGCTGGCAAAGTACAGGAGATGCAGGTGAACGAGGAAGACACACAGCTCCTGGCCCTCATCTCACGGGAGATACAAGGATACGTCGGAAATCTGGAGGCCTGCAGGTAGTCGCAGTTTTCTTTTAGGAGGAGGAGGGAGGGTGGGGGGAGTAAGAGAGAGAGAGAGAGAGGGAGAGGGAGGGAGGGAGGGAGGTTGGGTTTGCTGAAGGTAGAGTGACGAAAAAGTGTTGGTGGACATACTTTTTGGATGGATGTCAAATCTGTCGTGTTTGTTGAAACATTATTGAGCAGTTTTTGTTGCTTTAGTATTTGAACATAACATGTCCCATTATGACAATGATGAGCTTGTTGTTCATTTTTGTTGTTAAAATGTTTATTTTAGTATTTTGGAGTTGAAACAAATGGAACAAAGAAGAGTGCAAATTTGTGGGTGCACTTTTCTCAATGCCTTGAAGACTAAAGTACATAATGCTTGGCACATAAAGAAAAAAAAGTTACAATGGAATTTTTTTAGATTGTCACATTTTGATTGGAGGTCTAATAATTATTGGGTTTTTTTTAAATTCCCAGGTTGAGAGATGGTATTCGGAACATTCTAACGATCTCACGGCTGGGTAACCAGTACATGCAGAACAACAAGCCATGGGTTTTGGCGAAGGGAAACGCAGAGGAAAAGTAAGTGAACCCTCTATGGCAGTTTGATTATTTTGAAGTTATGTGTAAGATAGAAGGTTGATTTTTTGTTTTGTATTTTTTGTTTTCTTCTCAAGCTTCTCCATCATGAAAAGTATGCGTTTAATTCTCATATATATGGAGACGGTGTCTTCTTTGAAGATGCCTGTATAGACCAACCCGAGTTGTATCGCAGCATGCCTGTGTTACAGAAAAGGCTAAAACTTTAAATAAACTATCAAAGACCACTTAAATTTCATGTCAAGGTTTCGTGCATCCCTATTTATATAATTTGTACACCATTACTGAGATCATGATTTTGATCATGCTTTACAACATGGTAAAAAGATCAGGTTTCAGAAAACTCTGACGTTGGTTCACTTTGTGCTTAACACCATATATATATATTTAATTACGCCCACCTGCAGGCTTCGAGCAGGCTGCGTGGTGAGCCTTTGTGCCAACGTGTCCTGCCTCCTGTCAGTGTTGCTACAGCCGTACATGCCCAGCATCAGCGCCACCATACAGGGTCAGCTGCAGGCGCCCTCTACAGTCAATGTCATCACGGGCGAGTTTGTGGCCATGCTCAAGCCTGGACATCAAATTGGAAAGGTGAGATTGTGGGAAGAGGGGGAATGGCTCTGATGTTGGGTACACTTTATGCAGCATCAAGACACAGTTGAGAAAAATCCTGTAACTTCTTTGCCTGTATCGACAGGCTAAAGGGCACACAGATGGGCACTGAATCTGAAAAATAAGTAAAGTTGAAAGAGGAGGACAGCATGAGTAGGTCCAAATGAAATTATTTGTGTGTTTGGGGGTGGGAGGAAAATTATGATGTAAAAATAGATGGATGAATGTGGAAGGAACTTCAGATAGACACTGGAGTGAATAAAACTTTGGTTTATTGTTGTATCCTCTTTAATGTCCATTGGTCAGAATGGACAGGATGTTCATTATTTTTGTTGTTGACAAGCCTCTGTTCACTCACCTCTTTCTGTCTGAATATGTTTAGAAAAAAAAAATGCACAGTTGTTTGTACAGGTTGATTTCAGTCTTGCTACTGAGCTAGATTTATTTATCTTATGAATTCTTCTTTGGACATCTATTAAGGGCATGCAAGAGGTTAAGGGACACTAGGTACAGCTGAACTGAAAATTTTTGTTTGGGCTCTAAATTAAGTATTCTGGGATTCCCAATAACCAACATGGGCCAAGAAACAGAATCATATTATCCCTGTATGATTTCCCTGTCAATTTTCTGAATTCTTGAGATGCAATGGGTTCGACAGACCAAAATTGGCTCAAATTCTACGCGGGGATTGTGAAAAAGATTGAATTGATACAGCCTTGATATTTTCACACAGTGTTTCTGAATATACTACATGCAACGTACTAAAGATTTACTTTCCTTAGTCTCATACTTTTCTTGTAACTGCCCTTTTAGTGTCATATATGATACTCGGACAAAAAATTGATCACAAATCAGAGTGATACGGTCAGTCTTTTTTACACTGACAGAAAACTTATAACAATATCACAATAATCTTTTAGTACGTTGCAAACATATTATCTAGAAACAGTCATGCAAAGTAGGATTGAGCTGTGACATGTACTTTCAGAAATATCTCCGCGTAGGTGACCCACCCCCCTAAGAAAATCATAGTTTTGAGAAAACTGAAAAAAACGAATTCATACTGGTCTATTTCAACACAATGTTCAAAAACATGGCATATGTGTATATTTTTCATTTATTTGATATATCTGGAAGATGCACACTATATAAAAATGGAAAACAATTTGATTTAGGAAAAAATATCACACTAAAACCCTCGACACCACCCTAAAAAAAACCAAGCTGATAAACCCTAAAAAGGGTAGAATTTTGATTTTTAGATCAAAATGCCCTTGAATATTATATAGGATGTACACAGTGCCCTGGAATTATACATTTTATACCAAAATGCCCTGGAATTATATTATTACTGCAATCAAAAGAAGAATTGAAATGAAAATCGTAAACACTTGCGCACATGTCATCGCACTGAGGCAACCAGAGTTCGATTCCCGAATGCGGAGACGTTTTTATCAAGCATTTCAATCTTTCTGCTGGGGTACTGTATCCTTCACAGCCCAGGTTAGCCCTGACAAGCAGGGTCAGGGGCCTGCCTCCTAAATGATCTAAATTGAGTCGATGGGACATCGATAAAAAAAATTTTTTTTAATTTCCCCTGCAAACATGCTACATCCCACCATCCTCACTTCACATTTCAAGACAGTCCAAGACAGCCCTGGAATGTTATAACACAGTTAGTACTGTAATCAAAATAATATAGAATGAAATACAAATCGGTTACACCATTATCTATAGTGCAGCGGTTAGGATAGTCGCTGTCGCACTCAGGTGACCCGAGTTCGATTTCCGAGTGGGGAGAAATTTTTATCAAACATCTGTCTTCCTGCTGGGATGTTGTATCCTTCTCAGCCTGAGTTGGTCCTGACAGGCAGGGTTGAAAGCCTGCCTCCTAATGATCTAAGTTGTGCTGAAAGCGGCATAAAAACATAGGTTACAATTTTTTTTAAAATATAAAAAAAACCCGTTCTCCCTACATGCTGCATCCAACCATCCTTACTTCACACGTCACACTTCATGACAGACCAAGATATATGTAAACTTAGTTCTCTAATCAAAACAAAAAGGTGTAATCCAAAGGAAACAGGTGCCTGGCGTCTACCACAAACAACATTGCGAAACAGTCCAGCAAGCATCTCAAGATGGACTGCGGTTGTTGTGAAGTACTCATTGTGATCCCCTGTAGGTACTTCTGTAAAATTGTTATATAGTCCAGCTTTGTTTGTGAAGCAGTTTTGGAAGATGTCGGTGAGGAAGCTGCGGTATTTTCAGCGACTGGTGGAGTAGTCACTGAGGCAGAGCTACGAGCTGACGTGGTTTCAGCGACTGGTCGTGTAGCCACCGAGGCAGAGTGTAGTCACTGGGGCACCGAAGCAGAGTGTAGTCACCGAGGCACCGAGGCAGAGTGTAGTCACCGAGGCAGAGTGTAGTTACCGAGGCACCGAGGCAGAGTGTAGTCACCGAGGCAGAGTGTAGTCACCGAGGCAGAGTGTAGTGTAGTCACCGAGGCAGAGTGTAGTCACCGAGGCACCCGAGGCAGAGTGTAGTCACCGAAGCACCGAGGCAGAGTGTAGTCACCGAGGCAGAGTGTAGTCACCGAGGCAGAGTCACGAGCTGACATGGTTTCAGCGACTGGTCGTGTAGTCACCGAGGCAAAGTGTAGTCACCGAGGCAGAGTGTAGTCACCGAGGCAGAGTCACCTGTAAAAATATAAAAAGCCCCGTCAGCATGTACAAACTGCAAATGGCATTTATTCAAACTCAAAACATACATAAAATGAATTGAGTGTCTGGGTTAGAGAAGTAAAAACCAGTGTGAGTCTGTTCCCTCAGAGCTAAATTTTATAAAAATAACGATAAACCTACAGTAAAATGACTAAAAAATCCTTCACCATGCACAGACATTCTAAAATCCTAAAATCTAAAATAAGTCAAGGAGATAATTTAGATCTAGACTCTAGATCTAGATCTAGATCTAGATCTAGATCTAGATCTAGATTCTAGATCTAGATCTAGAAATCTAGTCACTAGATCTAGATCTAGATCTAGATCTAGATCTAGATCTAGATCTAGCTAAATGTAAGTAAGCAAACACAAGCTAAACCGAGAACCGAGAAAGATTCTAGATCTAGATCTAGATCTAGCTCTAAATCTATATCTGAAACTGAAGGAAAATAACATGACATCAATCTAAACATAACTCTCTACTTAGATCTGAGAGTTGCTCCTTTTTTCTTCTTTGTTTTTTTAGTTTTTTTGTCTGGATCTGAGGGATTCCTAATTTGTGGTCGAAAAAGAAAGAGCGTGGTTGATCGTTTCTCTGCTTCGAATTCTAATAGTGCGGCTGCAAGATTGGCTTCAAAGACAAAATCAACAACAATCAATGATAAAAAATGCATTTACTTACCTTTGCCTTTACAGACAGGGTTGAAATCAAAGATTTTTGCTGGAAATAAAGCACTTGTAACGCAGTTGAACTGGAAAAACTTGATGGTGGTCACAATTCACAATTGCTGGCTGTCAAGGTAAACAAAGTGGGAATAGCGAACGGAAGTCACCTCGGGGGCATGACCTGGCCAATCAAAATTCGTAGTTTGGGGGGTGTGTCCCAATCAGCCAACGAAATGCGAGAATTTGTTACTTGCACATAGTGTGTGTTTTGACCGGTTTAGGAATGTTCTATCCGTATGTCAGCGTCGAGCAGTTGATGAGTGAATGCGCGAAATGTTGACGTTTACAACGGTACCAAACACTTAGGGGTTGTCGGCGTGTATAAACGGGTAACGGTGGGGTAAAAAAGGTGCTTTTTTTTACCAATGTACCCAAAAACTTGCACAAGTCACGATCTTTTATGCAAATTTTGAGCATTTTATAGATGTTTTAGACACTTGGAAATATTTCCAATCGATAGAGCAGATGTTGTTCTACTAAAATAGCCCAAAATCGAAAAATCGGTTTTAGACACCTAAATCGACTTTTTCTGGCTGTTGGCTACTGCCGTGGTGTTCCCACTATACTTTTATACTATTTATGTTCCAATGTTGTGGAATCCGGCACTCGTCAATTTTTTGGGCATATATACGGAGTTATTGGTATGTCTTAGAGCCTGATCCTTTGATTTGCTTTTCATGAAAAAAATACTCACCTTTATTGAATAGAAGTTGAGATATTTGTGATTAAAGGAGGTGGGGATTGCCTGGTGTCAGACATAATAATAATAGATAGCACTTGTATAGCGCAAATCCCCGCTCCATGGCAAGCTCTGTGTGCTTCACAATCTATACTATTAACCCAGCAGAACTGAGAGCATTCTGAAACAACCTCTAATTCCTGGGAAGCATACAATGCAAGCAGCCATTTATAGGCGCTAAAATACTTAAACTGACAGGATCTTTCGCTGTCTATGGTTGGGTACCCATTCCCATTTGGGTGAAGTGAGGAAAATTTGTGTAAAGTGCCTTTCCCAAGGACACAACTTCGGACCCGCGGCTCGAAACCCCAAACCTGCAACCTCACGATTACGAGTCCGGTAGCCTAACCACTAGGCCACCGACGCCATGATGTATAAAATGAGCATGAAAATGGCTACCAGAGTTTGTTGACTTTCAAAGCTGTGGTATCTTTGGAAACTGCAAATTTACATTTTTTAGTGCCTTTGACCAACGTTTGTCAGTAAAATCCACATAAGAATGTGTTTTTATAATATATAAATTATATGGTTGATCCTTAACGAAACATTTTAAATGAAAATTCCTTTGTCACAGATTTCATTATTTTGACTAGTGTCTAATGTCATCACGATGCAACATATAAGTACCATTGCTCAATACAATTCTTTTTCCTTTCCCCAGCCTAGTCCACTCTTCCAGAAGATTGAGGCCTCCACAATGGCAGATCTGAAGGCTCGATTTGAAGGAAAGCCGGCAGAGAAGCCTGCACCCAAGGTGACTTGAGACAGCCATTTCAATGTGCCTTGCAATGCTATTTTTAGTAGCAAAGAGAGATTCTAAGACTCTTCTGATTGTATAAGGTCTTGCACATGCCTTAAAACGTATTTAGGCCGATGAATTTTTCTTTTAAAAAGAAGCATGCCCTCTACTACAAAGTCAAATCTGTGTTTGGGCACAGTATAAATCAATAAAACATGGGCCTGTGGGTCCGGCTTGTCCTATTAAAAAAAAAAAAAAAACACTGCCCTGAGCTGCAGCTTGCTAGTAGAACAATTGTGGATGCTTTTAGTACAAAAAAGTTCTCTTTTATTTTTCAAGACTATATACTTCTGTACTGAGGGTTGAAAATGAAATACATGAATTAAGCAATCCCTTGGCTTCCAGTACTGTTCATGAAAAAATTTGCATTCTGACATTCTGATTGTGAGTTCTTTTGGTGTTATTATTTATTGTGTTTTCAGAAAGGAGGAGGAGCACCAGCTGTTGCTGTGACAAAGGCAAGCCCAGAGGAGGTGGAGAGGCTGACCAAAGCTGTATCTGATCAGGTGCGCAAGTGTTTGAATTGTTCAAGTGAAATGATTCTGTTGCAAGTGCCCTAAAACTCTCAATAAAACAAAAATGAAAGTGAAACGAGCTGCAGCTAACCAACAGAGAACCTGTGTGTTCCATATGTAGACTGCAAATTCTGCTCTCGCCGGATTGATAATTTTTGTGTGTGTTTGGTATAGCCAGCACCATGTATATGCCAGGGTGAAGTAATAAAGGTACTGTAAGTAGAGAACTTAGGGCCAGCTTAACCTCAGTCTCCTTGGGGTTTTTTTTTCCTTGTCTTTCTTCATAAATTTTTTACCCTCTCCCCCCTCCCTCCCCCTGTTCCCATCACATCATTATCCCCCCCTTCTCTGCTTTCCCTTGCTGGCTTACTGTCTCTTCTCTGTATATTGAGTTTTGTGGTGTGGTCTGCTTCTCCTTCATCTTTGTTTCTGCTGCCCTGTTGTCCATGTTTGGTGGTACATAATTGTTGTGATGCGCCGACTCGCCCATGGCTACATATTTGGACAACAGCTAGGGAGAAAAGATCCGATGTTAGCGCAGAAAGATGCTGGAGCGTTTAAAAAAACAACCTAAGGTCGTGTATGCATAGAGACAGGAGGAAAGAAGGACAGAGAAAGCAATTCCTGTGTTTGTCTGGAATAGATTGTACAAACTGGTGGACATGCTACAGAAGACCACCATGTTTATAGTTAAAGCTGGCCTCTAAATGTCACAGGAATTGATGTAAAGAAAAGTGGGAAGACACGGAATAACGTTAAGTGGCTCGCCCAAGATAGAGAAAGGTGGAAAGTGTTTGTTCGTAGCCTATACCCTGATGCAGGGTGAGAAAGGCAATGATGATGATGATCTCTAAATGCAGACACACAAAGAGAAAAAGTCGTAAGTTTTGTTGTATTTACCGTCTCATTGTTTTCCTTCAGGGCAACAAAGTGAGAGAGCTGAAGACAGCAAAGGCGGAGAAGAGCATTGTGGACGCAGAGGTCGCGACCCTCCTGAAGCTCAAGCAAGAGCTGGCAGCAGCTCAGGGCGTTGACCCTAATGCAGCAGCTGGGGGCAAGAAAAAAGGAGGGAAGAGTGGAGGTGGTGGAGGAGGAGGAGGGAAGAGTGGAGGTGGTGGAGGAGGAGGCGGGAAAAAGGAGAAGGCGGGAGGAGGTGGTAGTGGTGCGGCTCCTGCTGTCGCTTCTCCAGCTGTGAATGGCGGCGCTGGGGATTCTCCCTCATCTCCTGAAGTAGCACGGTTGACCCAAGCGGTTGCTGATCAGGTGAGGGTGTGACTAGTGATTGTGGAGTATGAAATAATTACCATTTTATCGGTGTCACAAGAGAAATGAATACAGTAGAACATGACAATAGTTAGTGGCACCCGCTGCAGTGGGACCTTACTGAAATCCCCCTTTTTTTGGGTCTCAGTTAACTAATTGTCCTCTGATTTAATGGGGCAAGCAAAGGCCCGAACGTAGATACCACGGGAGAGATCGAGTGAGCTCTAGCTGGGGGGAAGGGGACGGGGTCTGTAAGTGGGCTCCAAACAGGCAGTCAGCGGTGCAGCGTTGTGATTTGCCAGTCCAGTGATGAGTGAGGTGGGACAAGCGGCAGAGAGAGATGGTGCGGAGAGACGTTACTTGAGCCTCTGTAACAGTGATGTGCCATAGCCTTAGGCCTAGGCTAGGCCAAAACGACAGTAAAAGAAGAGGAGAGCTTGTGGTATGTGATTTTTTGGTAATTCCCCTTTGCATTCCTATAGTGGGAATTTGTCTACAGCGAGATTTTTCTTCTGGAACTAAAGTCCTGCTATAGTCATGTTCTACTGTGCCTCTAATTGTTTTTTTGGTTTTTTTTCTCTCAACTATTTAGCAGGGTTAAACAAAGATATTCTTTGTACTTGTGACGACTTATCTTTGATTCTATTGTTCAAGTACACTGAACTCGCAAATTAATTGATTTGTTTCTCCCATGAATGTACTTTGGTTGACCAAGACTTGGGCGGAAAAATTACCACTGACTGCAGTTATGGCTTCTAAGGACTACTTACTATCAGACGGATGAAAAATAAGGGGGTGGGGGTGGTTGAAAGCATGAATAGATGTCATGATTGTGCTTTATTTATTTGTACGAACGATAAAATAATATGAGGTAAGGTTTTTGTTCTTCTTCCCCTTCCCTTGACATGATTTTAGCGAGGATTTTGAGCAAATTATATTTGTATCTTTGGTTACATGCCACATTCTTCTCAATGTATTGAAATTCTGATAGTATAGAAGTAGGGCAACAGACACTAACAATGTCATCCCATGGAAGTGGCCTGAATGCAATGTTTTGGCATACGTTTATTGAGTGCTAGGGATTCTGATAACTACTTATTTCCATATTCTGGTCACGACATGTGAGGAATTGAGAAAGAGGGTTGTGTCCTGCCCCTCAGTCCAACCTGGGTGATTGTTCTAGTGTAAGCACCAAACAGAAATAAACTAACATCAAGATTAACCGACACATCTTTCTTGACATTTCAGCATCATCATCGTATTGTTTTCATTATCACCATCATCACATCATCATCGTAATCATTATCATTATTAACATCATTATCATGATCATCGAAAATCAAACAATTTTTTTTTTTTTCCTGTCCTGTTTTTCTTGAAGCGTAACAATTTCTACCATGTTGACACATTTTTTTACATACCGATATCTTATCAGCACCAAATTAGATGTGACTAAAACAACAACAACAAAAAAATGCATGTATCTTTGACCCTGAATAAATTAAATTAATCAAGGACTTTCTAATTGTATTTGGATTAAATATTGCTTTTTCCATTTGAGTGAGGAGCTGGAAAAACCGTTTAGATTTGTCAAAACATGAAAATTGAGATTATTACAAATTATTATTCTACAGATAAACCCTGAGCATTGTGCTTTTTAATTGAATGTTTTATCTATCATACTTACGGAGATATTACAGTTTTTATCACGCAAATACAAAAGCACTGAAGTGAGAAAACCGATTTTAGTTAGTGCAATGGGTTTTTTTCGATATTAGTTGAACGAAAAGGACAAAACACAATGCCAGTATAAGCAAGTACGGTTCAGTGACCACAGCGACACATACCTGGAAGTGTCATCTCTGACTCAGAGGTTGCCGTGTAATGACCCTCCATCTTTCACGGTCGCGAACTGCCGTTGCACATTCTTCCATATCCAGGCCAGTCCATGTCCTTATGTTGTCCATCCACTGGCGCTCCTGCCCCACATCTTTCTTTCAAGTACCTCTTTCACAATGGTCTCGTGTCGTTTTAAGTGGCCATAGTATTGTATTTTTCTACATTTTATTCTGTTCAGCTGAATTTGTCTTGTGTGTAGAATCTGACACAGCCCTTTGTTTGTTTTTTTTGTTTTCCAACTTATTCTGGCCGTTCTTCGGTAGCACCACATCTCAAATGCATTTATTCTGTTTTTTTCTTTCCTTGTCAAAGTCCAGGTCTCTGCCTCATAAAGGAATATGGAGAACATGTAGCATTCCAGCATTTTCTTTCTTAAAGTGAGAGACAGTTGCCTGGATTTAAATAGTTTGTACATTTGGCTGAATCTTGTTTTTGCAGCTGCTGTTCTTATGTTTATTTCTTTTTCACTTCTTCCATCATCTGTGATTGTTGCTTCTAGAGATACTTGAATTGGTGCACTTTATAGATTCTCTCCCCATCTATGGTTATGTGTGTTGTTTTTCCAGAAGATTTTGATAAGACCATTGTTTTTGTTTTCTTGGCGTTCATGTTGAGGCCTGCCTTACTGCTGTTCACTTTTACTACTTTCACAATTTTAGAAAGATGTTCTTTTTTATGTTTGCAAGCAAAACTGTATCATCTGGGTATCTCAGGTTATTGATGTTGCGGCTCCCAACAGTGACTCCCTCAGGTTTTGCGATTCTCTAAAATTAAACTCTGTACAGACTTTAAAAAGATAGGGAGAGAGGACACAACCTTGTCTCACACCTCTATGGATTTTAATATAATCTGATATTTAATTACACACTTTAATTACTGCCTTCTGCAGCCTGTAAGGATTTCCAATGATTCTTATATCTTTGCCATCAGTACCTATCTTCTCCTATTACTCAATCAACAACATAGTGTTAGACAAAATACATGTTTTCCTAACTTTGCAGCTGGTGTTGATGTGTTTATATCTTCACTATACTGATGTTACGTTGTTTAGTGTCTCGATATTCTTCCACTGGGACTGGCCACTCTGATAGTGAGCGGGCTCTGATCATGGGTCAGGGTTCTGAGGCCTTTTTTGCAAATAATTACACTGTAATTCAATCTCAGGACAACTTATTGCATCTAATCAATTTTCCAATTACTGGTTGAGATCAAGCGTGCATTTTTAGTAAGAATTGTGGTAACTGGACGGATATTGGTGCCTAAAGTGGGCACTTGATTTTCTTCACAAACATAAACAGTGATGCTCTAATCTAGATGTGTGGGTGGTTGGCGGGTGCTCTTGTGTGGTTTGCTCCTTCTTTCCTATCAAACATCTATCGTCCTTATCTCCCCTTCTTTTTTAAAATGTTTGTTACTCTCTTGTAACACCTCTAATCTTCTGGCGCTCATAAGACCTTATGCAGTTGCGAGCTCCGTAAAACTACCAAAAAAAAAAAAAAAAAAAATCTAGATGCACCCACTCTTACACCCTAAAATAGATAGATTACAACAAAAAATGAATGCACACTTTGGCTGAAACCGGGAAAAGTATCGTATTCGCATGGCTACTTAGCCATGTGGGCATCTAAGGAAACGAGCAAGTGGACCTCCTGGCGAAAGAATCTGTGTCCCCTCTGTTGGGATCAACAACGAACACTCTCCCACAGACTGGCTTTAAAAATAAAGTAAAAAACTACGCCTCCTGTCTGTGGGAAACTCATTGGAACAAACAAGAAAACAATAAACTACACAACATTAAGCCCAAACTGGGTCCGCGAAAACCTTCAGGCCTCTTCAAAAGAGAGGAAGTCATTTTTACTCGATTACGCTTCGGACACACGTCCGCGACACATAAATACCTCCTTTAGGGAGACGAGAAGCCATTCCGACACAGATTTTACCATTAGACACATTTTAACAGAATGTCTAAACTTCGGAGAGACTCGAAGGAAATATTTTAGATGCAAAAAAATGCAAGGTCTGTTTTCCGTCGTTGATGCCAACAGAATCCTTGGTTTTGTAAAGGCCATCAGCCTTTATGGAAAATTGTAATAAGCGTTAAAATTTTTAATGTTATTTTAAAAGTTATTTTAAATCAAGAATTAATTTATATCAAAATTTTTTCATTTTAGTAGAGGTGTTGACCAGAATCCGGCTGTGCAGTGAACTGTTGCGAACGGAACCAACTTTTTTTCGCACTCTGATATGACCTTATGCAGTTGCTAGCACCGTAAAACTCTTACTAAAACTAAACTTCTTTAATCAATGTATGTACACTAGATCTACTTTTTAATTGCTTATACACAGTCTGAGCTTTTCAACCATGTATAATACTTCGGGGTCGTCTCAAAATACCTTTAAGATACATTGGTCAAAAAGAGATCGGTTTTCATAGTGCTCTTCGCCACTGTCAGCCACGTTTGATTATTATATTGACTTGGGTGATGTTGAGAACAAGTAAAATTAACATATTTTCTGCTAAAAGTATTGTTTGAAATTTTCAGGGGTGAAAGTAAAGCTGCTGAAGAATAGATTTGTGCAAAAATCTGTTTCCATAGGATAGCCCAAAATTACCTATGAGACAGCCTAGCTCTAAAGTCTAAAGTAAGTGCAGCGACTTCCGAATGTTTTTTCCAGCTCCTCACACATTTTGTGTGAAGAGGTCTTAGTTTTAAGTATGTGAAGTCTGTTTATGTCATTTGATTCATTTTCACCACAAGACTCTTTACTCCTCCTGCAGGGAAACAAAGTGAGAGACCTGAAAGCGGCCAAGGCTGAAAAGTCGGCCATAGACACAGAAGTGGCCTCCCTTCTCCAGCTGAAGCGAGAGTTGGCAGTAGCGCAAGGTCAGGACCCTGATGCAGCTGTCGGGGGAGGAAGTAGCAAGAAGAAAGGAAAGAAAAAGTGAATAACAAGTTCAAGATGATTGTGTGTGCGGAGCCATAGCATGACCAGCTATATACCAAAATTGAGAGAAGAAAAGAAAATGAACTTTGTACTTTCCCACTTTCTGACTCGGAAGGGCGCCTGATGAATTAATTTACTTTTTGGCACTAAACTTGCCTCGAAGCTTTCTGACAACAATGCGAACTGTTGTTTGCCTATGTGTGCACTGTTTGCTAGAATTGTACTTCTTCAATTTTGGATATAGTGTGTTTTTGCATGGAACCCTTTGTATGGAGCCAGTGTTTATATATGTGACACATGATTGTTATTATTTCTGAGGACACTTTGTCACTGTACCATTTCTCTTGAGAGATACATACTGAATTGTTATCATGTGTACTCGTGTTTGGGGTGGTTGAATGGACTGTTATGTCTGAGCTACTACCAGAGTATTTGGTAGGCCACTTTTGAAGAACAGAGCACCGAAGTTCAGTTATTATTTTTGATAGCTCATGGTCATGAAACTAAAATGTCAGTTCAATATGATGTCACTGAGACTCCGTCAGCTCTTCAATACTGTTAAGTAGCATGGTCAGAGTCAGAAGAAGCGTATACACAGGCATGTTGGGGATATGTCCATCTGCTTTAGGAAGATGATTACTCTCTGTGCAGACATTTTTTTTTTTTTTTACTTTAGACACTGTAGACAAATGTGAATGGTTGCAATTCAATTTTAGTGAGAAACACTTTTAGTGCATTTTTGTGCCTTTCTGCAATTGTTTGTATCTGATGCTGAGCTTTTGGATTCCACAAAAGCTGCCATAAATCCCACATGGATGTGGGGCAGATTGACATACACCTCTCATAAAGAGTGGTTGGGTTGTGCTCACATCGTAAAGCCAAATGATTGTCAGAGGACGGTTCATTCCATTTTGGTCTTCAACTATCTGCTCTTCTCATGACTTTTTCCAGTCATCGTTGAGGTAAAGGCAGCCACATTTGTTTTACCCATGAGTTTCCATTCTGTCCATTGTGGTAAAGGATAATAACCTAATAATCAGATAGATTTGATTCATTACTGTGCACGGTTTTAGGTGTGTATTTCAAGAACAGATTTCATGAAAATATGAATTACATCAGCCTTGGACAAAGCAACATTATTATTGATACGTGTGGTACATTTTTTTTCTCCAGGAAATATTAAGGATTAAAAAATATCTTTGGCATCATGTCATTGAACATGCATCGCTTAAGCAAAGAATAGTTTAGCTTGACCTCCAAAAGTAGTGAGGTTCTGGGTACAGTTCTCTTAACTCCAATGAGTAGTGTAAGCGTGTCTCTTGTTTTCTTTATCTTTTCACGGTTTGTTGTTCAGCTTAAGTGATTAATGAGAACAATTGTGCAACTTTTAACTGTCTATAAACAGAAAAGTAGATTTGATAGTAGGGTATGTTAAAGTTATAAATGAAGTTTGTATTTGGTTGAGTTTATGTGTGAGAGGTGGAAACAGTCCATGAGATTTTTTTACCTGATGGAGAGTTTTTGTAGCTCATCATCACTAAATATATGTCATGTCACAGCAGTCATCGTACAATTAGTAATGCGGTGTGATATTTATTAATTAACACAGCCATTTTGCAAGGGTGTTGTTTTATTGATTTTAAATGTCACTGATGTTATTTTGTAATTAGGAGCCTTATTCAGAAGGGGCATGGGAGAGGGTTATTGCACGATTTCTCCTGGAGAGATACTGTAATTGGTAGGTGTTTTTTGTGTGTCTTTCTTTTGCATAATACACTGTTATGCCTTGTTCCTCCTGGGTTGTTTGGTTGTTGTTTTAATTCCCCGTCTCCTGTAGATGAGAGAAGAGTCACTTTTAACACATATTTATGATTAATTTTTCTTGCAACTTAGCTCACGGGTTCTGAGTTTTAATTCCTTATTAAAGTTCTTTTGTTAGTCTGTTACATAATGTTGCTGACAGTGTAAGATGTTCCTAAAGTTATTGCGACAAGACATTTGTGAGTAGTAAATGCTGGTGCTGTGGTACTTAAAATTAATGTATATTTAAGGTACTCATTGCTCAATTATAGAACATGCGTTTTGTCGTTTTGATAGTCAAAGAGAACATGACAGATAAATTGTATGAAAATGTTTGTTGATAAAATGACTAAACTTAAAGTATATATTATAAACTCGAATCTAACAATCTTCCTGGACTGGTTTTTCCTTTTAGTCAGATGTCAGTGGTGCTTCATAGTAGGGAGCTTAGCTTAGCCTGATATTTATTTTAGATGGTAATTAATAAACTTGAGAGTGGGTGTTTGACAGTAGCTGAGTCGTGTTATGTGGGTATGTGCAAGTGCAGTACGGTATTTATTTTTTCAAGTGATTATTGTCTCACTTCATGAACATGGTGCCACCTTCTAGTTTTTGCTTTCTTATACCATGTCATTTCTTCTATTGCTTTGGCATGATGGCTGAAGAAATAAAACAACACTGATAGTATACTGGTGTTTCTTATTTTATGCTATGTGTTTGTTTGTGTGGTCCATAGGCTATGATTTTCGCCTCGCAATCAATAAGTCCAGAGTTCAAAACCTGACAGCGAGCGACAGACAATTTTTTTCTCGAAAATGTTGTCCTTCCACCTCCTCTCCTGCTCTCTGTTCATGTTCTGTAGTCAGCTTTCTTCTCCCCCCCTTTGCCCCCTCCTCTGGGCTCCTTACTCTTTCTGCAGCCTTCTAGTGCTACCTCTTGGCTCTACTTTCTGCTGTCTAAGTCTAAGATCTAACATCTAGCCTTCTCCGATAAGGGCGAAAAATCTCGGAGGACCCGTGTGCACGTTACGCATGTTTTAAAGATCCTTTGGTGGTCCTAAATCGATGAGTAGATCATGACCGCCACCCGGGAAAAATTCAAAATTAATTCCTACCAAACTAAAAATGTTTAATATGTCCCGTGCGCTCATGTGACCTTATACTGGTGAGAGCACCGTAAAACGCTTATCACAAAACAAACACACACATACATACACATACACTCACACACACACACACACACAC